GGCTGTGCTGCCATTCCGAGGGACCTGGACAGGCTGGAGAGGTGGGCGGAGAGGAACCTCATGAAGTTCAACAAAGGCAAGTGCAGGGACCTGCATCTAGGGAGGAATAACCCCAGGCACCAGGACAGGCTGGGGGTTGACCTGCTGGAAAGCAGCTCTGCCGAGAAGGACCTGGGAGTGCTGGTGGACCACAAGTTAAGCATGAGCCAGCAATGGGCCCTGGTGGCCAAGAAGGCCAATGGGATCCTGGGGTGCATTAGGCAGAGTGTTGCCAGCAGGTCGAGGGAGGTGATCCATCCTGCCCCTCTCCTCAGCCCTGGTGAGGCCTCACCTGGAGGACTGTGTCCAGTTCTGGGCTCCCCAGTACAAGAGAGACATGGCACTCCTGGAGAGAGTCTAACGGAGGGCTACCAAGATGATGAGGGGGCTGGAGCACCTCTCCTCTGAAGAAAGACTGCAAGAACTGGGCCTGTCTAGCCTGGAGAAGAGAAGACACATCAATGTGTACAAGTATCTGAAGAGGGGGGTGTCGAGAGCATGAGGCCAGACTCTTCTCTGTGGTGCTCAGTGACAGGACAAGAGGCAATGGGCAGAAACTGAACCACAGGAAGTTCATCTGAACCTGAGGAAAAGCTTCTTTACTGTGAGGGTGACTGAGCATTGGAACAGGTTGCCCAGAGAGGTGGTGGAGTCTCCTTCCCTGGAGATATTCAAAACCCATCTGGACGTGATCCTGGGCAATATGCTCTAGAGGACCCTGCTTGAGCAGGGAGGTTGGACTAGATGATCTCCAGAGGTCCCTTCCAACCTAAACCATTCTGTGATTCTGAGCCAAGCTTGTAAAGGCCCACACAGGGCTCTATGGGCTCATATGGGCCCACATTAATCTCTATGGACTCGTACAGACCTGTGCCAAGCTCATACGGGCCCGTGGCAGACCCTACAGGCTTGTACGGGCCCACTTAGGGCTCTCCGGGCTTTTACGGGCCTGTGTTGAACTCCATGGGCTTGTACGGGCCCACGTCAAGCTTGTATGGGCCCATGCCAGGTCCTACCAGCTTGCATGGGCCTGTGTCTGGCTCTACCGATTCATACTGGCTTTCACCAAGCCCTACGGGCTTGTACAAGGACGTGCCAAGGACTCTATGGGCTCGTACAGGCCCAAACCAAGCTCTACAGGCTTGTACGGGCTTTTGCTGAGCTCATATGGGCCCACACCAGGCCCTACAGTCTTGTATGGGCCTGTCCCACCTCCACGGGCTGGAACAGGGATCAGCAATGGAGATGGAATTGGCATTCAACAACTGGCTGGGCTTCCATCTCCAAAATAAACACTTGCTCATGATAGATTTTACTGAAATAAGGTTTAATTTCATAACTTACTGTTGCCATGTCTGTATAACACTCTACAAAATATAATCAAGAACAGCATTTCAGCCCCACATAAATGTTTGACTGGCTGTATGAGAATTCAATGACTTTAAGTCTGATGTTGATTCTCCTGCCTTCTATGATGGCAGCTTGAAAGTAGCTTTGGTGCTAAGGCTGCAATGTTATTCCTTTGGGAAGTCATTATACATTGTTGCTTTCCAGTCTCATTCTCCACTCAGTGATGGCATCTCCCAGGCATGGCTGAGGTTCTCTGGTGGTATCACAAACATGAAAGATTTTAACCTCTTCTTCCATTATGCAAAAATATTCCAGGGATGTCACAAGGTAGGGGCAATTAGATTTCAAAGATGATACTAATGTGGAGGTTTAAGACCTCTACATCCTTTTCTATAGCACTTGCTATAGCAGTTTCTTAAAGTACAGCATTGATCTGCCCACACAAATACAACTGGTACTAGATTTCCATTCACTCCTGTCAATGCATTTTCACTGCCAGTAGTGCTGTCCTGTGTTAGCCTAGCCTGAGAATTTATCTCACGCTCAGGTAAAAATAACTGACAGTGTTTAAAATGCAGACAGATACTCTATTCAACTTAGAGGTTAAAGCAAACAATATGCTTAGCTGCTACTGGTAGTGGAATTCATGCAGAACTGCTTCTAGCAGAATTGTGAAACCTGCCAAGGATTACATGGAATCTAAAATGACTGCTGTGGATTAGAAATCCACAAGCCAAAAGGTCAGCTTCATAGAGCTACAGTGTCAAGAAATGTTCTTGTGACTGTCTGACAGCAGCTGGGTGGTATGACAGAAGTTATCTCACACGTGATCTCCATGGAAAGTTTCATTTTGGCCAAATCTTTTTTCCTCTCATCTTCTACGTTCTTGAAGCTTCTTATGTATTTTAAAAGTCATAGTGGAAAACCATGATCATTATGAAAAGATACAATTCCCTGAAAGCTTTTTTTCCATTTTGACTACAGTGCAGCACCATGCTCAAAATACAACTACTGGATCAGAAAAATAAAACACTCAGACTATCATGCACATCTGAAAATAGATACATAGCTTTCGTGTAGAGCCAGTTCACAGTGAAAACTTTCTCGTTTTCACAGGAGTGCAGAGATGTTTTCAGGAAGGTCATGCTACAGGGAGGAGTCTGAAAATAAGAGGAGAAAATCAGCTCAATATCGTAATGAGGGAGATAGTCTGAAAGCTATGCTAGAAGGAGGACCTGAAATGTTACAAGGCAGAAAAAAACAATGCGTGAAAAAGGATTACAGGGATTTAATTGACCACTCATAATTCCTCCGCTCATTTTTCCACTCACATAATCCCACTGAGGTGTCCCAAATTGCATTAAGAGAGAGTATTCGACTCAAAGTTAAGGATATTTCATGAAGAACAGAGTAGATACTACCTTATTAAATGAAGATGGGATATTTCTTTCTAAAGGATTTGCTAAAGGTCAACTAAAACCTCTGGGCTCATGTAGAAATCAAGTCTTTTTTTAGATTTACGTTTCAATTTCCATTTTTGTCTTTCACACTTGATCACTAATAGATTAAAAATTCAGTAGTCCAAATGCACAGTGCCTCATAGGAGAAACTTTCTGTCTGTAAAGCCCTATGGCAACCATTTTAAGGCATCTTGGCAGCAATGACAAATCTTAATGTCACATGATGAATTAAAGGCATTAAAGATTGTTACCTTTAATGGTGAGGAAAGCTTTGCTGAATGCACGGCCCAGTTCATTGGTGGCCTCTACCATATATTCTCCTTCATCATTTTTTGCAACACCTAGGATCACCAGGGAGCAGACACCAAAGACATTTGTGCACAAATAGTTAGGATCCTTGGACAGGTCCCTGCCATCCTTATACCATGTGATCTTCGGTGGTGGATGGCCTGCAACTGCACAGCTCATATGGCACTCTGTCCCAGTGGTCACCACATGAGGCTTCAACTGGACGAGGAATCTTGGGGATTGATTTAGATTAACTTCCCTGTATTCTGGTTGTTTGACTTGAAATTCAGCTGTTAAATAAAAACAAACAAAAAACAGCGACATACAAACATAAACTCAGATACTGCTTCATGGGGACAGAAGTCAGACTAAAGGAGTGATTTTCAACTGTGACTTTTAACAATGGCATTCTATGTTGCAAACTGCACAACATGCCATGCACCTGTGAATTGTAATTTGTGGTTTATTCTCAAATTGATCAAATTTTAACCTTTAAGACAGAAACTTTGGTTTCTACAAAACTTTAAGCCTCAGATTTTGCTGGAAATTCATTCTGTGATGAATTGTGTGTGATATAACTGCTGGAAATAAAGGATCTATCTGACTGCAGAGAGGACAAACCCTAAGAAATTCCTGTTTGGCAAGGAAGGCATCTCTATGCACGCTCATTCTAGGCAACGAAATGTTCACAGGAAGAGAGACCTATTTCAGGAGCCTGTACTAAAGCCATTAAAAGGAACAAAGCATCACAGCATGGGTACATTGATAGCTATTTGTAAAAGCTGTTTTACCCTTTTCTTTTCGAAGTCTCCATGGCTGTACAGTTTCAGACGGACCACTGGCTCCTAAGTAATTTTTTGCCATAACCCTAAAGTAGTAGTCCCGGCCTGGGATAAGTTTGGTGAACGTGAACTTGTTGGTGTAGATCAGGTCACCCACCACTTGCCACAAGCTCTTCTGTGATTCACGTATCAGGACCGTGTAGTAGAGATTACTTTCCCATTTCTCAGATGCTGATGGCTCCCAGGTCACTGTCACTGTATTTGGCACGTTCTCTTCCAATTCAATAGGTCCAGGGGACTGTGGGATATCTGTCAGATTAAGGCAAAAATACCAAAGAGGTAGGGAATTTTTTTAACCCTAAAATTTCTGAGGTCATCAGATATTCTAAGTCTAGGGACTGAGTAAACATCTCGGTCATTAGAAGGGACAAAATTTGAATCTTCCTCCTTCAGATGCGCATGAACTTCTCCTGCATTATACCAGTAGCCCTGGGCCTCTTCTTCTTATGGATAGAGGCAGAAGATGAGGGCTGATACAGCTAAACTTTTTCACCTCTTACTGAGACAGCTTACAGAGTTTTTATGACTAGGACTACTACAGCCTGTTGCTGACTAATGTTACGCTGTTACAAAGAGCATAAACTGCTCTCCTGTGGTTTGCACTATCTAGCTTCATAACCTTATGTATTTAAGCAGAGTCATTCTGGTAAGGAGGTGTAATTTAAATCAGTAGACTCCTCTGTCCCATAGATATGGCCAGGTGATACCACAAAGTGGCTGGACTGAATCTCATGAAAAACTGTTTTCCTCAGTTCTTCCTGTGCCTGCATTGCTTAACTGAATCAGAGCTCACTGTGCTCAGCTAAGCTCCTCGCCTGCTGCCTACTTACCCCTGAATTTGCATATATAGATAGTAGTGATTGAGTTACCTGTAACTTGAACTTGGAAGCTGAATGCTTCTTTATTCCTTGACCCATTCTGGAGCTCAACAGTGTAGGTGCCACTGTCAGAGAACTCAGCTGCTTCAATCAGCAGTTCGGTGGTGCTATGTTCGGTATTTATTGTGGCCCTTTTTGGTAGAGGAAGCCCATCCTTTAACCAGGTCACTACCGGATCCGGAGATGCCTATGAAGAGCAACATAGGTTACAGCCCACCTGTTCTGTCTCCAGTTTATGTCTTTACACCTTTAGCGTCATCAGTCCAGTGATATTTAGAAACACCTGAGCTGGATCTAAACAAATTAGATCCAAATAGAAGATTATGATAATAATGATGATAACCTGCTTCCAGTGCCTGAGCAACCCCCTTCAGAGCTAGGTCAGGTATCTCTGCAAACCATTATTTTGTTTCTTTAATTTTAACTTTTGCTTCTTTAATTTTTAACTCTTATAAAGAAACTAAAGTTCCTTTGTAACTTTTTTCTTTCTCTGTGTCCTATAAGAGTTCTGCTGTACTAAAGTGCTCAGGTACAACTATGTCAAACAAGGTGTTCAAGAACAACAGATAGTAACAGCAGTTACTATTTTGTACTTTTTAAAATATCTGCTGCTTTGGGAAAGAAAAAGGATCCTTAGTAGGGTATTTTTCTTATTATGCCATCTTTGGTCTTTATTCCCCAAGATAGCGCCTGAGCTGGAGGAAGGCCAGCAAACAGGCACACTTCGCCTTCATCAACCTCTTCCTGATATCCTAGGCCTTACCTGTATTGCTCCAAGCTTAGGTCAAAGCACATAGCATTTCTGTCAGTGCAAACCTGTTTCTTAGGTAATATAAGTAAAGTGTTGCTGTTTAGTAAGTTGAATATAGTTAGTAGGATGTTGCTAGAAATCCTACCTTTGGGTCTTCCAAGGGAGTCAGGGGGAAATCAAGTGATGAATCTAAGTATGAGAGTTTAGTACCAGATGATGATAATATTGAATGCTGTCCATCCACCCATATCAAAGTGCCTTGTTTGCAGAGATTAATGATGGACCATAATCTCATAACCCTCTAATACCAAAAGTGACAGATGAATTGTCGTTGTTCTCCTCGTGCAGAAAGCATACAAAGTACAAGTAGCTTAAAGGATTTGCCCAGGATCTTGTAAAAATTCCATGCTAAGAAAAAGCAGCTCAGTTGACAAGTCTACTACTGGCTGCAGCGTAAAAACAGACAAGAATTTCTTACGAAGCCATTTGAAAACTTACTTCAAAGGGAATTGGCACTCGGATGGTTTTGCCTGCTCTTATAATCAGGAAGCTTTTCACGCTGTCATCTATTAGGAACCTGGGAGGAACTGGAAAAGACAGTGATTACAATCAAAAGTTATATGCTATGACAGAGTTATTGGCAGACAAACTCATATGCATGTGTCCAATACTCCTAAAGGCTTTCCAACAGTTGGCTTGTGGGCTATTGATAAAATCATAGTGGTATTGTAGAAAGAAAGCTCCTTGATTCAGCACTAGAGTTCCTTGCTAACTATTACACCTTTTAAATTTTACTACTATTTATCTACCACTATGATTAAACAAGGGGAATGATGTAAAAATACGTTCACATGATGTCACGACATCTCAATCATGGATAAAATGGCTCTTTGACACGCTTTACCCTGTCACATGGATGATATTCTACCTCAAATGATATTTAGGGAAAAGGAACTTGCAAAAGATGTTCATGAAAGAGACAGTCATGAGAACAGTTGAATTGAGAATATTTTTCGACAATCTCAAAAATTCTTTGTGCATTTGAGTTTTTCACGTGACCTAGCAAAACAGCAAGCTATGAACACTGAAAACCCCAAATGACATCCTCAGGAAACAGGCCTGAGTTTATTAAAAATACTTTTCACATAATGTTCTTTTTAAAATTTAAAACTATTTTTCTTTTCTTTTCACCAATATAATATACTATGGTATTTAACATTTTACTTTTTAATTATGCATTTTGCTTCTTTCTCTTGTTTCCATTCATTAACCTTTCAAATCTGATCTTTTGGAAAAGCTGAAGAACAAAAAGAAGAAAAAAGCACCTTATAAGTGACTATTTTGTATGTTTCAAATTTTCTCAACTTTTGGACAGTTATGAAGTGATAAGATTGCAGACTGTGGGATTCATTTCACCTGTTACAGTGAAGGCACTCTGTGTGAGAGGAAAAATATAAATCTGCGGAAAAATAAAATATTTGGAGTTCTTGTATCTTAATGAGTCCTTAACATGAGCTCACCACTCTGTGTATTGTACATTTATTGTCAGTTGAATCTTCAGATTTTCCTGGTGAAGTAACAAAACAAGAGCATACTCTAAAGGAGCAACATCGTACTTGTCCATCTGCTACAGTCTGGGACTTAAAAGAAGCTCTTGTCACAGTGACCCAAAGACTAAAAGACTGCAGTCAAAGTCTCCAGCAAAGTCGTCTGTGTTCTGTTACCTGTAGAAGGACCTTGTTCATTTTGAAAGCAGCCCACTCTGACTTACCAACAGGAGGAGCAGCTTCAGTGCAAGTTTGGAGCTCCGCAGCTTCTCCTAGGCCACTGTCATTGAGGGCTCTCACACGTAGGAAATATAACTGTTTGGCTTGCAGGCCTTTAACTGTGTACGTGGTTGTCTCTATAGGAAGAGCATTGCATTTGGTCCAGTTGAGGTTGTCATAAGATCGCATCTCTACCTCATAGCCTTTCACATCAACTCCATCTTTAGGTTCAGGTTTTCTCCATGTCAAGGTGATGCTACTGCTGTCATTGCTGGCCACTCTAAGGTCCCTCACTTGACCTGGAGGTTCTGAAATGAGAAATTTTATTTCAACTATTTTTTAGGACTTCTGTGCCCCCTTTTCAGTCATTTTCTGAGACCCTCAACACTTGCAGTGCGCTAGATATCCACCTTGCTATCTTGCCTCCAGTTTGTCCCAGTTCTTCAGAGCTGGATCCAGGTTCCTGCTCACAGCAATACTGCAGCACAATCTGCAATGCTCTTGCAGAGCTCTGCAACCCATCCTAAATACCCCTCCACATGGCACGTTGCTCGCACACTGCACATTGCTCCTGCACAGGAGGTCTGCCACACCTTGACTTACTCATCCCACAAGAAATCCTTCCATTTCTTTCTCATGCTGACAGTGGATTCTCAGCCATGAAACAGGTCTCCAATTATTTGATTTTTGCCTTCACGTACTTTAAAAACCACTTTAAAACATTGCTTCTCCACAAACATCCCCAGTCTAAATCCTGCTTTAAGCATCCCTGAGCCAGAGAGATGGGGGCGGTTCACTTACTTGTGGAATCTCGAGCAAAGACAGGCTGTGATGGTGCACTGGCTTCTCCTACACCAGCAGCATTGACAGCTGCCACGCGAAATTCATACTGCAGCCCCATCTTGAGATTGGTCATTTTCAATTTCCTCTCTGCAGGAAGAAAAGCAGTGTGTTGGCTCAGGCGAGCAGTTCCCCAAGCAGTAAACAGTGACACAATGATGCTGGACTTCATGCCATGTAAAACTGCATACTACATAATTCTCAGGAGCTATGTATAAATGTTGTCTCCCTTTCCTCTGCCCTTCCTTGTCCTAGTGCATATGTACTTCTGGGATGTGTTCATTGTATTCCCTTGCAGATCAAACACCATCTGGGAGCTATTAAGTCAGAGAAAGGAAAAATACCGCTTCTCCTCATGGGATAATCCTAAACTCTTCTATACCAGATAAGAAGTCCTAGTCTGCACCTGGCAGATAATTAGCAGCTATAGTCAAAATACATTTTAGAGCATATACACATCACTTGGGTTTCTTTATGTCCCTTGCATTTATAAATTCCCATCTACCACATTTCCAGCACTAGGACTAAGGACAGCATTTCTATATGTGAAGTAAAGATTTTAGTCCTAGAAACTGAAAATGTCAGTTTATCCATAGTGGAGCCAAGTCCCAGGATGCAGCAGTGACCTTCTCTGCACTCCTCCCCAGCCATATGCTCACACACAATCTAGGTAATACCTCTCCTGAGAGTAATAAGAGATCATAACCCTCCTCCCAGGCTTTCAACTGTCTATGAACCAAGAACTGGCTTTGCTGTGATGCAGCTGTGTAACCTTGCCTCAGAACTCTGAGAAAATTGTTTAGTTGTGAGAAAGAGCGTAGACTACATAAGAAGGTAAAATTTCAGATGGGGTAACATGGATGAGATGGGGATAGTTAGCAGCTCAAGAATTCAAGAGGAAAAACACTGATGTGAAAAGGTATAAAATACTAAGCCGAAAGCAAGAGGTTAGAAGAAGGCAAATTCCCATCCAAGATCAACATATTACCTTGTAAGCCAGCCCTCTAAAAAAGGGAACTTTTTCCCTTTTTGAAGTTTTCCAGCTTGTTCCAGGGTTTAAGCTACCTACCTGCTACAGGCACATTGGTGACTGGCACCCAGATATTGGTACCCTTCTTGCGTTTTTGAACAATGTACCCCACAATTCGGGAACTGCCAGTTTTACGAGGTGCTTTCCAGGATATTGTGATGGTTTCCTTGCTGGCACTGATGATCTCAGGGGGATCTGGGGGACCAGGTGAAGCTAGAAAGAGATAGCATTTCATTATTAGCAGTTTTTTTCTTTGCAAGGCAAGGAAGCGCTCCAAGTAGTTTCTTCCTTCAGTTTCCCCAATATATTCATATGGACATGTTTTGAAGACCTGAACGAAAACTCAAGCTGTATATCCTATTTCCCACACAAACAGAATCCAGGAGTGTGGACCTCTTTTCCTAATGTTGCTTTCATGAATGACCTGCTGTCATCACCACCAAGAATTACACTGTCAGCCTACAAAGAAAAGTATGTACATTCTTATCCCATAGGGAAGTTCAGTGTTAATCTTGCTTTTAATGATAGAAATTGGGATAAGGATGGATTTTCTAATCCCTCTGCTAGAGCCCTCAAAATACAGCAACACTACTGAAGGGCACAGCAATGAAAAATTAGCAGAAAATTTTATCTTTGCAAAGAAAGGCTTGTAATTGTGCAAAGAAAGATGCAGATAGAATGAAATGAGAAAGAGATTTGAGATATTGCTCTCTTGTTAGTACTACATTCATGCTTGAAATAAAAACTGTTCTAATATTTTAATTCATTGGAGGACTCAAAGAATAGAATTGCTTATTTGGAAATCAGGGCTATGAAGTGATCATACTAAAAAGTGCTGTAGGCACTGAGAGACTCCTTTGCCTGTGGATTTAAGAAAAGGCCTTGCACGTTTACTTTGTAGCCACTCAAGAAGAAAGTTTCTTTGGTCTTGATGCATATTGCATTTCCCCCATTAACTTGTTTTAGAATTCAGATTGGAACAAAACCGAAAATTTAACACCGCCTCACTCAGCATCACCAAAGCCTACAAGAAGCTCCTAGTCCTGATATGAAATCTTCACAGGTTTGTTCAGCCATGATGCGGATTCACATCTGTAGCAACACCCAAAATGCAGCGAGTTTTCCTTGATATCAGCTTTAATAATGAATTTCCCACATGGTTGTAGAATGATTACAAAAATTCAAAAAACAGTTCTTCCTTACCTTTACTGACAGCCTTCACCTCATCTGATTCCAGTGCATCGCTGGTTCCCTCTGCATTCACAGCTCTCACCCTGAAGTAGTAGCTCATGTTTGGTTCTACTTTGTTGGTAGTGAAAGTGGTACAGCTTTTGGGGGTTTCTCCCAGAGTCACCCAGTCTTCCTTGCCTACTTGCTGCCTCTCAACAATATAGCTTTGTACTGGTTTGCCCCCATCATCCTTTGGGGGCTTCCACTGAATGGTGATGTCACTTGTGGAACTTTCTACAACTTTGATGGGTCCTGTGGGTTGCTGTGGCTTGTCTGAAAAGAGGAACACAACAACTGCAAGTTGGCTCTAGATCCAGACATGTTCTTGAGTTTGGAGCAATCATTGTCTCTTGCTCACCAGCTGGGAGAGCTGGTTTCAGCTAGAATGTACTCATAGTTGCAAAATGGGGCACAGGGGCTTGAATTGCCTCTTCCAACATCCACTCTTCTCCTAAGTTTTGTTAAGGGGTAAGAAGCCAGGTCCTTGTTCTTTGGGTTGATTATTCCCGTGAGCATTGTATCAAGTCAGCTCCCATATAAGGATGAATGTCTTTTCTGGACTTCCAAAAGAGTAGACATTTACGGTAGGGCTGAACTTGGCCTGGCTAATCTGTTTTTAGATATGCTTGTTGTCCATAGTCCTATCTTCCACAATCACCCAACATTCAAAATTCAACTGCTGAGGCTGTGCAAAACCACAATAAATTTGTGTCATCTTGTATTAAAGTGTAAGAAACATGTCAGCAAGCTTTTCCTGTGCCCTGATTTAGTGGATGATGGGAGAATTGATGTGGATGATGGGGATAGGAACTCATCTAAATCAAAATAATTCTAACTTAGGCTTTGCCTATTTCTCCCCAGAAGCGTATTTCTCTTTCTGAACCAACACATACTCAGACTTACCACATTATACTAGATGCAGCTGAGAAGCTTTCCTAAGCCTGTAACTGCTAGATGCAATATTACTGTTTTTCTGAAAAGCTTAAAATTAAACTGAAATTATTTCAGGATACAGAAATTTTTACAAAAATAACCTGTCATCCATAAAGCCTGCTAATCATTATGCCTAAGCCCACAAAAAGAAATATCTGCGTTTTAATAGCCTTTCATGGGCATATCTAAAATAGAGAACCAGATAGGATATTTAATTAGTATTTATCTTTGAGGAAAGAAGCTTATTATTGATTATTTATGTTTAAATTCCTTCAGTTTTCCAAGAGCAGTTTTACAGGACAAAAAGAAAGAGGATCAAGGAAGATGTGTAATTTAAAAGAGTAACAGTAATTTAACTGGATTGAAATGCTTTTTAAAACTAAGAATGATAACGTTAGAGAATTTACATAGTTACTTCAACCTATAGCAGAAGGTTGCACCTAAGTTGATATCAGGTATAAGGTTGGAACTTAACCTGCTTACCAGAACCTCTTACTAAACCTGCCAATGTCTATGGCTGTAGAGAACTCCAGCTGAAGTTAACTCAAAGCAAGCATGTTGTACGTGGTTTGCAGGTTTTAGAGTGCACACAAGCATTTCAGAGAACAGGCTGGGGAACACGCAAAGATGGAATAAAAAGAGTTGGAAGAAAGCATAGCTATGTGGACCTGTAGAACTGTCGGTCCTGCAAGGCACCCAGCAAGGCCCAGCCATGCCAAGTGACATGGACCATATCAATTTGGAGTCAGTATGCACCATAGCCAGTTACCACAGTCCTGGACTGCCATGGCTGCTTGCCAGATGATGTGCCTGGGTCTTCTTTGCCATGTGCTAATGGTATATGGGAAGATTTTGTAATAACTTGAAGTGCGGGCACAGTCAGCATCCCTTACTGTAAACATATCCCTTCAACCTTATCAAAGTCAATGTGAGTGCAAGAAATTCTGCAGTTCTAGAAAATGCTCAGTATACTTCTATTTGGATACTTCGGAAGAGAGGCAAAAATAGATGTTCCTGTGAGCAGCATTCATAAAACCCTTGCTCATCTCGAAATACACCGTAGCCCTAAAATAAGATGGTCATCAGTGCTACTAAGGCTCCCCTGCCTGAGCTCTACAATGAAAGCCACAGTGGATGCTATAGAGTTCTTACCTATTACCACAAGCTTTAGGTCGATCTCCAGGACTCCATGGTCATTCTTCAGCCTGACTTTGTAATCCCCACAGTCCTTTCTCTCACTGCTGGAGATGGACAACATGGTAAAGGTATCTGCTTTATCAACACGAATCCTTGTGTCATCTACTAGCTCCATTCTGTCCTTTAGCCACGTTGCTCTGATTGGCAGCTGGCCCTCAAAAGGGATTTTGATCTTTATTTTCTGCCCAGCCTTGGCCACAATAGGAACATTTGTTAGGTTTTTGAGGAGAACTTTGTCAACATGAGGAGGATCTACGCAGAAAACACAAGGTCATTAATAATTGCAATTCAAAGAGTATAAAGCTCACCTTGAAGGGAAGAACTTCTCTGTATTCATGGTTACTGTATATTCCAAACAATTTTTAATCTGGTTCTTTGGGGGCTTATGCAACCTGAATCAGTGATGTTCCTGATGAAGCAGATGATGCTTGGAGGCTCACAACATTCGGACCTTCTCCTTCACCTGCATGTAGTGTGTTTCATACACACAAATGCACTTAGCTATAGGATAATTGTCACAAAGTATTTATGGCATCATAAATTGGAGCAAATTTTTCACTAGAGCAAATTTTGTCCTGAATGCATAAGCTCATAGGCAGTACACTAAACCCACACAAGAATGAAGAATCTGGTTTGATGAAGTGTTATGTACTTGCCAAAACCTTTGAGTCAATGATAGGAGCTATTCAGGAAGACTCCCTGATTAAATTGGGAAGTACAAAATGCACCAATCTATATCAAAAACATCTCCCATATGTTTGTGGATTCTTTATTATAAAGCTGTCTTGATGACCAACTATAGAACTCACAGAAAATGTATTACATTTCAAGGACATCAAGGCTGGTGCATTGCATTAGGAACAGGAGTAATTTGAACAGACTCACCTTCAACAAAAATAGAAGCTTCAGTTTTTACACCTGCAGCTTCAAACTTATATTTTCCAGCATGAATATCTTCTACTTTGTTAATAATCAGTTTGTGGATTGAGCCTTCCTTTTCAAAAAGGACTCCATCCATGCTTTTTAACTACAAAGCAAAGCACAGAGACCTATTCTTAAAAAGAAAAAAAAAACCAACAATCCAAACTTTAACAGGACAGAAATCTTGGACGTATGACCTAACTCCTCTAAGGAATACTGACAAATAAATTTGAAATATAATTGAAAAGTTCCAGGAACGTCCTATGTGTTTGAAGCAACTATAACCAATAGCTGTGCCTGAGCCAGTCTGTTCACAACAGGAACAAGCACTGAAAACAGAGCAACTCCCAGAAAACAGCACCTTTTAGGAAACCTCAGCTATGCTTGCAACATTCCTCCACCATAACCTGTTATTAATGCACAAGAAACATCCTGCTATGGTCTAAATTGTTCAATAGCAATCATTTTCTGGGATTATTTGTCTGGTAACGTTGCATATTAGCACTAATGCACCAATATATTCCCCATAAAGCCTTGATTTAAAGTCCATTAAAGTAAATGGGAGATTTACCTTGAGCTACAATCCTAAAGTGTTAGGAATAATATCTCCACGCTCTCTCTTTCTATTCTTAATGCTAACTTTGGCCCATGCTTGAGCATGGCACCTCTGAACTCCTACAGTATCATCTGGATTCCACAGTCTATTCTCCTTTGTTGTTGGAATATGATATATATGTATATGCTTGACCTTACACATTGATTTGAAGAAGTATTCTTGCTGTTATGCATTTCTGAGGATTATGCCCTCAAACTGAAGATCCTTTGAAGATTCATCGTCACTTTTTGCATGTTTCTGTCACATATCAAGACATCCACATTTAAAGGAAAGACCTGCCCTATCTCCACCCGTGAAAAAAGGATGGAAAACACAAACCTTCCTGGTGTCAGCAAGAACAGAAATGCCTTGAAGCAGGAAGGAGGAAGAAACTTTGCTGGGTTTTTAATCAGGAATTTTAGTCTAAAGAGGCTCCTGCACAATTCTTCTGGAGCCATCCCAGACCACTGTAAGAACAGCAGAGGGAGGGACACCTTGACACACTACATGAGAGGTAAAGCCAAAAAGCAGAGCACCATTAACCAAGGAAAACAGTAGCTAGAGGATACCTACCTTTAATCCATCTTTAAACCAGGTTCCTTTCACTTCATCATTACTGACAGTGCAAGACAGCTCGGCTGGCTCCCCTTTCAGGACTCTGACATCTGCTAATGGTTTGTTGACACGACAGCGTGGTGCTGAAATTTCAGAAAAGAAAATGTGTAAAAGATGCTATCTCTGTGTTACACAAGAGCAGAGACTGCCAAAGAGAAATATATAAACAAAAAATGAACGCACAGGTGAGGAGAAAGCTTTTCAAAAAATATACTGTAGTCATGACAGGGTTTTGTACTAAGACGTTATGGGCCACCTGGCATAAACTCATTGCATTGGAGGACACACCAACTGGCCTGTATTCAATACGGCACTTGTATCAACCTAACGGACAATGGATTAATCACAAATTGTATTATCCATCTAAAGATTTGCTATTTTAAGTCTATGCTAACTGTCTTGGCTCCCTCTACAGCCAGTGGGGGAAAAAAAGGCTCTTCCAGGACATGGATGTCCTATTTATTATTCTTTCCCATTCTTGTTCTTTTTCGCTGTGTTGACCAGACACAGGGCAGCTCAACTGGTCTCACTGAACAGCCTCAGTCACGCCATTTTCTACCCCTTCCATTCTCTTTCTTCCTTCTCAAGCTCTTCCCCTTCAACATCTTCACTCCCTCTCAAATAAACAGTACGCCCCTATTTACCTTTTTCCATTTGCCCCAGTTTTCCTGATTTTACACCTTTATTTGTATTTATGTTATAGTTGCCTCAGAAATTTCTAACTTGGTCAGCAGTTCCATTAGGCTAGCATCCTCCTTTTAAATACATATAAAGTTTCTTATTTCTACCATTTCTCATGTTATCATCTTGATACTGTAGCCATGGGTCAGGATTATACAGCTGCATACACATTATTCTCCTTTTCCTGCATGCAACACCTTATAATTTCTCATGTTAGAAGAGATAAGAGCTCTTTACATTAGGCCCAATGTGCACATTAATTCAATATAATGGGGCACAAACTGGTTTCCAGAACTGTTGAAAAATATAGTTCTTTGCAGTAGGTGTTAGAACAAATAAAGAGAAATGGCAAGTTTTAAATTGCAACAAAAACAAAGTAATACAGCCTATTCCTCAAAACTATATGGGAACTAATATGTTTGTGAAATGAAGCCTGTTGCATGTATGCTCTGAATCAATTATTTGAATGAACAGATAGCTTTACATAATTTAGATAAAGATAATTTAGATAAAGTTTTAGATAGAAGGATAGCACTCCATAATTATCTATCCATGTATGCTATATTGAAAATTGTATAATTAGATTAATAGACAAATCAACTCTATAATGATTATTCTATAATGAGTAGACAAATGATCTCTCAAGCTTCTTAGAAGGCACTCTCAAGCTTCTTAGAAGGAAAAGGATTACCTTTCATTTTACCACATTGAAATGAGTTGCAAAAGACCTTTAAAAAAATTTTTTTTAATTAAAATCCTGTCCTCTCTGAGCTCTGGAGTATAAGTCAGTCTCAATAGTCACTGGTAGAATTACAAGTATTCAGAGGACATCTAAATCACATTCCTGGTACATGAGCACATTTTGAGTTACCCAAAACAGTGGATATTTTAAGTTAGCTTGATCTGAAGGTACTCGTCTACAGAAAAACAGCAAATCAGTGATGGAATTAGGAACAGATCTCAGGATAAACAAATTTGTCTGCATAACTGTATTTATCTTAACCATAAGATTCCCCTTGTCTCCAGAATTAGAAATGTGAATATCAAAATGCAAACACCAGCAATACAAAATTTATCAATTAAGACATACCTTTCAAATCATCTTGGGGAAAATGTCTTCTTTTTTCCATACTGTCTGTATTCTTCAAGTATTCTTTTGCTTTAAAATCAAGGCCAGGTATCTGTTTTCTCCGATTTACTGAAGAAGGACCACTATCCAGACCTGACATCTGATCATAACCCAGTGAACTTTCACCAAGAACACCTGACTTCCTCCCATCAACAGATTTGTTATTGGATTTACTTCCTGCTCCACCAAAGGCAGAATTCTTGCTATAATAGGAGCCTAACTGTCCTAAATCCCTGTCCTCACCCCTGGCACCTCCTTTCCCTGAAAGTGAATCTCTCTCATTGTGTGAACCTTCGTGTCCTGATCCTCTGAAATCTTTGTAAGCACCAGTTCCAGCTTCACTTCGCATAGAAAATTTGCCAGGACGGGAATCCAGCCCAGATTCATCACCTAGGCCAATAGCACCTTCCACACCTTCTCTACCACGGACTGAATGCAACCCCCTTTCATCACTTCCCAAATTGCCAACACCACCTGCCCCCACCCTGGAGCCAGCTGACACACCATCCTTGCCATAGGGAGACCCAGCAGCTTGCATTGCAGAGGCACCAACAACACCCCCACCTTCTGAAGATGACCTGCCATGAGGAAAAGCAGCTCCTCCTGCTCCACCTAAATATCCTTGAGCTCTGCTCAGCATAGAATTCTTGCTGTCATAAGGCCCCATTCCTCCTTCACCTCCAAAAGGAAAATGAGCAGCTCCAGACACACCCAGAGCTGAGAGACCATCCTTTCCATAGGAAGAGCCAACTCCCCTTGCACCAGAACTACCAATACCTTCTCCAGCTGGAACACCATCCTTTCCATAAGGAGTCCCAGCAACTCCCATACCACCAACTCCAGCACCACCAACACTAACCCCAGCTGGAACACCATCCTTTCCATAGGGAGTCCCAGCACCTCCCATACCACCAACTCCAGCACCACCAGCAGCAGTCCCAGTTCCTATTCCCAGTGGAACACCATCCTTTCCATAGGGAGTCCCAATACCTCCCATACCACCAACTCCAGCACCACCACCAGCAGTCCCAGTTCCTATTCCCAGTGGAACACCATCCTTTCCATAGGGAGACCCAACACCTCCCATACCACCAACTCCAGCACCACCAGCAGCAGTCCCAGTTCCTATTCCCAGTGGAACACCATCCTTTCCATAGGGAGACCCAACACCTCCCATACCACCAACTCCAGCACCATCAACACCAGTCCCAGCTCCCATTCCCACAGGAAGACCATCCTTTCCATAGGGAGACCCAACACCTCCCATACCACCAACACCACCAACACCACCACCAGCTCCCATTCCCACAGGAAGTCCATCTTTTCCAAAGGAAGTCCCAGAACCTCCCAAAGCACCAACACCACCACCACCACCAGCAGTCCCTGCTCCTATTCCCACTGGGAGAACATCCTTTCCAAATGGAGACTCAGCACCTCCCAAGCCACCAACACCAGTCCCAGCTGGAACACCATCCTTTCCAAAGGAAGACTCAACATCTCCCATACCACCAACACCAGCACCACTAGCACTAGCGCCAGCTCCTATTCCCACTGGGAGACCATCCTTTCCATAGGGAGACCCAACACCTCCCATACCACCAACACCACCAACACCACCACCAGCTCCCATTCCCACAGGAAGTCCATCCTTTCCATAGGGAGACCCAACCCCTCCCATACCACCAACACCACCAACACCACCACCAGCTCCCATTCCCACAGGAAGTCCATCCTTTCCATAGGGAGACCCAACCCCTCCCATACCACCAACACCAGCACCACCACCAGCAGTCCCAGTTCCCATTCCCACAGGAAGTCCATCCTTTCCATAGGGAGACCCAACACCTCCCATACCACCAACACCAGCACCACTAGCACTAGCGCCAGCTCCTATTCCCACTGGGAGACCATCCTTTCCATAGGGAGATCCAACTTCCCCCACACCCTCCACACTAGTACCACCAGACCCAGTTCTCATTTCCACTGGAAGACTGTCTCTTCCATATGGAGAGCCAGCTCCTGCTGCACCAGCTATACCAACACCAGCCCCAGCTGGGAGATCACCCTTTCCATAATGAGATTCTAGTCCCCCTGCACCAGCTAGGTCTGCATCACTGGCACCAGTTCCAGCTCCCATTCCCACTGGAAGACCATCCTTTCCATAGGGAGAGCCAATTCTTCCTATATCATCAACTCCAGCCCCAGCTGAGAAACCATCCTTTCCAAAGGGAGACCCAACACCTCCCATACCACCAACACCAGTCCCAGCTGGAACACCATCCTTTCCATAGGGAGTCCCAGGACCTCCCAAAACACCAACACCAGCACCACCACCAGCAGCCCCAGCTCCCATTCCCACAGGAAGTCCATCCTTTCCATAGGGAGACCCAACACCTCCCATACCACCAACTCCAGCCCCAGTCGGAACACCATCCTTTCCATAGGGAGACCCAACACCTCCCATACCACCAACACCAGTCCCAGTTGGAACACCATCCTTCCCAAAGGGAGTCCCAGGACCTCCCATACCACCAACCCCAGCACCACCAACACCAGCCCCAGCTCCCGTTCCCACAGGAAGTCCATCCTTTCCATACGGAGTCCCAGCACCTCCCATACCACCAACTCCAGCACCACCACCAGCAGTCCCAGTTCCTATTCCCAGTGGAAGACCATCCTTTCCAAAGGCAGAACCAACACCTCCCATACCACCAACAGCAGTCCCAGCTGGAAGACCATCCTTTCCAAAGGGAAACCCCACACCTCCCATACCACCCACACCACCAGCACCAGTACCTGCTCCCATTCCCACTGGGAGACCATCCTTTCCATAGGGAGACCCAACACCTCCCATACCACCAACACCAGTCCCAGCTGGAACACCATCCTTTCCATAGGGAGTCCCAGCACCTCCCATACCACCAACCCCAGCAGGAGTCCCAGCACCTCCCATACCACCAACCCCAGCAGGAGTCCCAGCACCTCCCATACCACCAACCCCAGCAGGAGTCCCAGCACCTCCCATACCACCAACCCCAGCAGGAGTCCCAGCACCTCCCATACCACCAACCCCAGCAGGAGTCCCAGCACCTCCCATACCACCAACCCCAGCAGGAGTCCCAGCACCTCCCATACCACCAACCCCAGCAGGAGTCCCAGCACCTCCCATACCACCAACCCCAGCAGGAGTCCCAGCACCTCCCATACCACCAACCCCAGCAGGAGTCCCAGCACCTCCCATACCACCAACCCCAGCAGGAGTCCCAGCACCTCCCATACCACCAACCCCAGCAGGAGTCCCAGCACCTCCCATACCACCAACCCCAGCAGGAGTCCCAGCACCTCCCATACCACCAACCCCAGCAGGAGTCCCAGCACCTCCCATACCACCAACCCCAGCAGGAGTCCCAGCACCTCCCATACCACCAACCCCAGCAGGAGTCCCAGCACCTCCCATACCACCAACCCCAGCAGGAGTCCCAGCACCTCCCATACCACCAACCCCAGCAGGAGTCCCAGCACCTCCCATACCACCAACCCCAGCAGGAGTCCCAGCACCTCCCATACCACCAACCCCAGCAGGAGTCCCAGCACCTCCCATACCACCAACCCCAGCAGGAGTCCCAGCACCTCCCATACCACCAACCCCAGCAGGAGTCCCAGCACCTCCCATACCACCAACCCCAGCAGGAGTCCCAGCACCTCCCATACCACCAACCCCAGCAGGAGTCCCAGCACCTCCCATACCACCAACCCCAGCAGGAGTCCCAGCACCTCCCATACCACCAACCCCAGCAGGAGTCCCAGCACCTCCCATACCACCAACCCCAGCAGGAGTCCCAGCACCTCCCATACCACCAACCCCAGCAGGAGTCCCAGCACCTCCCATACCACCAACCCCAGCAGGAGTCCCAGCACCTCCCATACCACCAACCCCAGCAGGAGTCCCAGCACCTCCCATACCACCAACCCCAGCAGGAGTCCCAGCACCTCCCATACCACCAACCCCAGCAGGAGTCCCAGCACCTCCCATACCACCAACCCCAGCAGGAGTCCCAGCACCTCCCATACCACCAACCCCAGCAGGAGTCCCAGCACCTCCCATACCACCAACCCCAGCAGGAGTCCCAGCACCTCCCATACCACCAACCCCAGCAGGAGTCCCAGCACCTCCCATACCACCAACCCCAGCAGGAGTCCCAGCACCTCCCATACCACCAACCCCAGCAGGAGTCCCAGCACCTCCCATACCACCAACCCCAGCAGGAGTCCCAGCACCTCCCATACCACCAACCCCAGCAGGAGTCCCAGCACCTCCCATACCACCAACCCCAGCAGGAGTCCCAGCACCTCCCATACCACCAACCCCAGCAGGAGTCCCAGCACCTCCCATACCACCAACCCCAGCAGGAGTCCCAGCACCTCCCATACCACCAACCCCAGCAGGAGTCCCAGCACCTCCCATACCACCAACCCCAGCAGGAGTCCCAGCACCTCCCATACCACCAACCCCAGCAGGAGTCCCAGCACCTCCCATACCACCAACCCCAGCAGGAGTCCCAGCACCTCCCATACCACCAACCCCAGCAGGAGTCCCAGCACCTCCCATACCACCAACCCCAGCAGGAGTCCCAGCACCTCCCATACCACCAACCCCAGCAGGAGTCCCAGCACCTCCCATACCACCAACCCCAGCAGGAGTCCCAGCACCTCCCATACCACCAACTCCAGCACCACCAGCCCCACCACCAGCTCCTATTCCCACTGGGAGACCATCCTTTCCAAAGGGAAACCCCACACCTCCCATACCACCCACACCACCAGCACCAGCACCAGCTCCCATTCCCACTGGGAGACCATCCTTTCCGTAGGGGGACCCAACACCTCCCATACCACCAACACCAGTCCCAGTTGGAACACCATCCTTTCCATAGGGAGTCCCAACACCTCCCATACCACCAACCCCAGCACCACCAACACCAGCCCCAGCTCCCATTCCCACAGGAAGTCCATCCTTTCCATACGGAGTCCCAGCACCTCCCATACCACCAACTCCAGCACCACCACCAGCAGTCCCAGTTCCTATTCCCAGTGGAAGACCATCCTTTCCATAGGGAGACCCAACACCTCCCAAACCACCAACACCAGTCCCAGCTGGAAGACCATCCTTTCCATAGGGAGTCCCAACACCTCCCAAAACACCAACACCAGCAACACCATCCCTAGCCCCAGCTCCCATTCCCACTGGGAGACCATCCTTTCCATAGGGGTACCCCATTCCTCCTTTACCTGCCACATCAGCTCCAATCCAGTTTCCACCTCCAGCCCCAGATTCACCTGACTGCCTGTGTTTACTGCAGAACCCCCCAGTGTTAACAGCAGTGGCATCACCAAGACCTTCTTCACCTGGCAGACCATCTGGGCCATACAAAGCCCCCATTCTGCCTACAGAATTGCCACCTGCATCAGGTCTAGCCCCATCTCCAGTTGGCATACCTTCTGGGCCATACAGCAAGCCAGTTCTTTCTCCCTTACCTGCAGGACCACTTGCTTCAACTCTCAGGTCATCCTTACCATAGGGAGTCCCCATTTCTCCTCTATTTATACTTGTTCCATTAATACCAGCTACAGTAGGCAGGTCATCCTTGCCATGGAAGGATCTTATTCCTCCAGTAATCGCAGTACCTGCAGCATTCCTACCAGCTCCAGTCCCTGGACTAGTCTCACTGTAACTAGCATCATCTAATTTACCATCCTTGTCATGCCGAGAGTCCAAACCTTGTGCATCACCCATGTCAGTGCTAAGAATATCCAACACACCATCCTTACCATCTTGAGAGTCCCTGCCTCCTACACCTCTGGATCCACTTCTTGTGGCATTTGTACCTTGAAAAGACCCCACAATCGCGTCAGCCCTTTGACCAGTTCCATGACTGGCTCCACCTAGGATAGCATCCCTGTCAGACAGAGAACGCATCCCACCTACACCAGCACTGCTAAAACCATTTGTTTCCATCATACTCTCCTCTTGATAAAGAGAACCCCTACCTCCTTTTTCATCTAGGCTAGCCTCAGCTCCAACTACTGAACCCTTTTTGCCATAAAGAAATCCCTTCCTGCCTGTTTCTCCCACCCTCGCCCCAGTACCAGCACTAGTATCCTCAAATACAGTACCCTTGCCATGAAGAGTGTCTAAACCTTCTGTACTTCTGAATCCAGCTCTAGCATCACCTCTGCCATCCACAGAATACCATCCACCTGCTTCTCCTAATCCATCACCAATATCTGCTCTGCCTGTCACAGAACCCTCACCACGGAAAGACCTTAATCCACTTGTATCTCTTAAACCTGTAAATCTACTGCTACTACCACCACTTGTCATTGAGTCTCCATCTATCTCTGCTCTAGAAAACTGCCCAAACCCCATTCTTCCATTTCTGTGGGCTCCATCTCGCCCTTCTTGTCCCAAAAATCTACGTCTGCCATCAACATCAATGGAGTAGTCTTGACTGCCTTCTTGGCCATTTCTGTACAAGCCATCTTCTTCCATGCTAATGTCCATAAGATGATCTTGTTCACCAAGATATTCTCCTTGTCGAAGTTTCTTAGCCCTGTCTTTATCTGACAATGTTCCTTTCAGCCAGCCAGTTTTCTCTCTTTCATCTCCTTCATCCTGTCTCCTCTTTCCTTTGGCATCTGCATTGAAGATGCATTGTTTGATTGGAGCAGAAACAATTTACAGGAAAAGAAAGAAAAAAAGAACAGGTGATTAATATCTCATATAATGCATCAGCAACCAAAGAAAATGCATTAGTATTTGTTACCATTTCATTTTAAAACATTGAAACACTATATATTTAAATAAAATTATATTCAGTTCAAATTCTGAATGTTTTTAGTGGCTTATTCAGACATAATTTTACATTTCTTAGTTTAAAAGGCAATTATTTTTAGTGGAAGTATGTTTGTTTTGAAAAGAAAAAGAAAGACAAGGCAAATTTAAAGCATTATAGGTCTCATCCTGAAGGACTTAGGTGATATCTGGGATCTATTTAGTTTCTTCTGTCTTCTCCTCCAGCCCTGGAGGATTAACAGAATATCCCATGCACAGAGTGACCATCAGTTCCTACTCTTGAATTGGGATCTCGTGGCTATTGAGGCAGCTTGCATATTTGGCATCCTGGCATTTTAAATCTCTAGCCTGAACACCTGAAGGCTAAAGATTCCAGTTCTACGAATAGCTTTGTCTTAATCCAAAATTCAGGTTTTTCTCAGATGCACAGTGGAGCTATCAGGTCACACACAGTTTTGATTTTCACACTAGATACCATTTCAGCACAGCATTAATGGCTCAGCGGAAACAGTGGGCATTTTCTTCGTAAGTCTTATTTAGCAACCTTTTTGTTTCTGAAAGGTCATCAGACAAGGACCTTATGAGAGACAGCACCTTTTGCTGCAGCAGGAACACAACAGAAAGCAGAGCAACTGCCTTTTAGAAGTAAAAAAATAGAAGCCACGTGACTGATAATCTACTTTCACTGAAAGGCATGTTTTCCCATCTTCCCAGCTTCTTCTAACGTGCTTAACCCCTAATTTGGAAAGAAAAATACCATCTAGCAAGACATCCATGAAAGCTCCTTAATCCCCTGTACACTGTACTGTATTCACACAGTGGCAGCTTCATGAAAAACACATGTTGAGGCAGTATTTTTAAAGCACTGATGGAGAACATATAACGTTATAGCAACTGTAGAGGAAATGAGCCAACAAGATTTGCCAGAACTAACAAAAAGAGGAAATTTTGTCTCATCTGAGGAGGAAAAAGGGTCTAACCTGGCCCTCATTTCTCCAAATACAATTTAGGAACTAGAGGCTCCATGACTCATTTCTCAGCATAGTAATCATCTAACAGAGCAATCAGACAGTGAGAAGTATACTCTACGCCACAGGAATAATACAGCGTCACTTACTTTCTACAATAAGCCAGGCATTTGAGGAGCAGAGCCCAGTGTCGAGTGTGTACATGCCACTGTCAGAGGGCAGAACATTTTTGATAATCAGCTGGTGTGTCAGACCATCAGGTGTTACAGAGATCTGGTGTTTCTCACTTCCCTCAAGGAGGTGGGTTCTGTGTAGCCAAAGAACATCGTAGCAGGGAGTATGTAGGGTACACTCAAAGATAGCATTTTCTTCCTCAGGGCAATGCACATCACTGAGTGGATGCTTAAATCTCACAGGGATGGCTGCAATGGAAAATCAAAGGCTACAGACAGGAAACAGAGGGACCTCTGTCTTCCAAGAAAAACTTGTCACAGTAGAAGGAAGAAAGAAAAGAACTTGTCAACCCTGTGAACACCACTTTAAGCAGAAAAAAGAAACACTGAGGTGTGCACCTGTGCCCAATTCTAAAGGACAGAGAAAGGGATATTTATTATCTTCTTAGGCATTTATACTTATCCATCACTGTGATATGGTGGTAGCTTGCAGTCATTAATGGATGCTAGCATCATAAAACTACTACTGAGGTTCCTAATTATTATTCTGACTTTACACAAGGCAACTATAGCATAGGGTAAATTAAGAATTTAAAATGTTCATGTTCATCCAGAAGTCAGAGCCAAACTGGCACTTGAACCTAGTCCTCTGGACTACAAATGACCACATAACCACCCTCCTGCCATTTTTCATCTGTGTCATATGAGGAGAGAAGCCTTACTTGGCAATACAAAAACAGTTTTCTGTAGTTAGCAGGTTTTACTGCTGAGCTTTGCATATGCTCCTAGATTAAATTTCACCCCCCAAAATAATTTCTTGTTACAGCTGCACATTGCATGCATCAATTTCAAGTCCTTACATTCAGCTTCCAACTCAGTTGAGAAAACGGGCACATCCTCCACTCTGACTTGGTACAAGCCTGCATCTTCTGGCTGCACATCGTTGACAATGAAATTGTATCTTTTTCCTACTTGCCTCAGGCAGTGCTTTCTGTATTCATCCCCTGTTCCATATCTCACCCTCTCACCATCCTAGGAAAACAAATGACATACTCTTAAAGGCAATGCATCAACTAGTGCAAGGCATTTCAAACAAATTAGGCCAAATTTGTGATGAAATTGCCTTATTCATGTCAATGAGTCACAACAGAGAAGGCTACAGTCTATTATCACTTACAGCGGACTGCTGCTGCTCACTGCTCATACGGCATATAGGCAATGCTAGATGCACTAAGTCCTGCACAGAAGAGAGCATCTGACTCTCCAACTTGGCAAAATGATACTACTTTTCTAGCTCAGATAAGGTTTTGGGCTTAACAAATAGGTATTCTCTGTAACTTTGAAGACAAAGTACGTCTGTTGCTTAGATTTTAACATCTTCAAAGATGGATAATCAGGCAAGTTCAGCCTCTCCTACCTCTGATACACTTGGGTTACCTTCTCCACTTTGTGGCTGCATAGACTTTGCCTCATGCGTTTGAGCTCCCTGGGGAGCACAACAGAATAATTACATAACTATACTAGATGCTTTATTTCCTTGAGTTCTTTCCAGAAAGTTAATGATAATGGAATGTAACACTTTAATAAAATCAGCCCATTTTTCTGATACAAGACTGCAGGCATCTGTTGGAATTTCCTGTTACCTGAAGTGCTCTTGAAGTCAAAAGAATGTTAGTAACTGACAGAAACGTTTCCCCTACACTTGAATCTTCCGATTTTCCGATCCCAAGTGATATTCACCACCAAAGACTATGGGGGTCCCCACACCAACACTTCTCCCTAAACAATCAAGGATTCTGATCAAGGGATCTGACGGACAGACAACTTTGTAAGACAATGTTTATCTGCTCTCAGCCACTGTCCAATGGATCGTTCACTTCACAAAACAGACTTCAGTGACTGTTATGAGCTGGCCAGCACATCCCCTGCTCACCTCTTACCTTAAGCAGATAAATTTTGCTGTTACTGTTTTTCAAGTCCATCTCTAGTTTGAATGTAGCCCTTCCCTCTTTGTTGACCCTGATGTGTTGCTGGTTCTTGATACTGTGCACTAACTGTAGAAAAAGATACAAGTTCTTAAGCTGACAAACCAGTGTGAAACCTACTTTTTCATCTGTCTAGAAAAGAACTACCTCCACCTTTACAGGTATGGAAGAAGCACCTGCAAATTATCTGCTGCTTCCTTCTGAAGGCAAATTATATTTTACCTGCCACCCTCCTGGTCATTCACAGACTCTGCAATTGCTATTTGTCCAATTTTCTAAACGTCCCTGTATGTGAAGGCCTGTCTCGACTCTTAGGTACATAATTCATCAATTTGATGCTCAAATTCTCATTAGAGGCAGCCAGATGCAGAACTAAGCCATGGGGATTAATAAAAGGATTGTCCTAAGCTCAATATCTCCTAAAATGTTTAAGTGGACTCCAAAAAATGTCAGTAACACTTTCCTCCATGTCAGTATAGAAATAGGACTTCTTTAAAGCATTGCAACAAATCATTCTCTGTCATACAGTAAAATTTTCAATCTACAAAGCAACTTAGGAAGGTATAGCTTATCTTCAGAAGTGATTCAGGAATGGTATAACCCTGCAGTTCTTTAAAAATCAGTGTTTCAGTGGTTTCAGTTTGTCTTACTTTTCCATGCTCAGTCTCTGTGTGCTCCCTTATTTCCTGCAGCTTTCTCAGCATCCCACGGAAGTCTGTAATTCCATATTTCATACAGATTCTTTCATAATCTCTTTTATCTGCATGCAGCAAGAGTTGCCAGATTGCTTCCATGTCCACTGGTTTTGGTTTTGGTCGTGGGGCTCTTAGAACCAGAAAAAGAAACAAAAAAGACCTACAAATTTTGAAAGAGAACAAGAACTTCTTGTTCCCCTAATCTTAACTCCTTCATCTTCCTCTCCATCATTTCTGTAGTTCATTCATTCACCCCTGTAGAGGTAGAGGATGGGATTCTTTTGGGACAGGTTTTTTGCATTTATTCTATCAAATGAAACAGTGCCAGGGAACTTCTTGCTCTGGGATGTCCAGGGCACTGGAATGCAATTGTCCAGATTGTTGAATTGTCAGCAGAGTCCCTGGCACAGTTTGACCCAGGCCAACTTGCACTCTCCTGAATAATTCCTTGGCTCAGTTCAGGACTTTGCACAGGCCATGGATCATTCCCAAGACTGCCGTCTTTGTGAGGCCACCCATTTGGGATGCAAAGGGAGTTCAATAGTGTGCACATGGCAGGCCCTGCAGTTGGCCTGGGGGCCAGAGCTCATCCCTGGCACTGTTGTATCCCTTGATATAGCTCCCTGATAAGCCAGAAAAATCATTATATGAAGCATTTGTCACTCATTTAGGAAGTTACTTGTTAGCTAAAAACAGGAACAGCAGAGAGACAGATCTCTTAAGACAAAATCTGATGGTACAAAGGAACATACATCTCAAAACAAGGTTGGTACCCTGAGTTTATCTTATCCTAACAGACACTGGCAAACTGTTCTGTTATGTCTCTCCATATTGTGCCTCACAGCAACTTTGGGAACAAGAATTGTTGCCTTAAAGGTTTATGAAGCTGTTCTTGGCCCTATCATATTGAGAAACAGCTAGGAAGTGTAACAATGGCCTTCCCTATGGAATTTTACCGCTTTCTCAGCAGCTTCCTGAAGTCCTGAAGTTTCTTCTTTAATTCTGTTAAAGGTGAAAAGAAAAAACATTCAGGTAAGAAAATGGAGCTACTCAACAAGGTAAAATATACCTCAAAAAAGAGAGGTCATGTAAAATAGCCACCGAAAAGAGGCCATTTGCCTGTGCTGTGTTCAACTTCAGGTGATCTTTTTACCCGTCTGAAAAACTGCCATAAAACTTATTGTCAGGTTTTTCAGCCATACCCCTGTTCTTTAAGAGCCACTAAAGTTCATCCTTTCCTACAGTTCTCTCCTCTCTTTCTGGAGAGGACACTCTGGACTGCAGTAAGGCCCACTATTTCCCAGCCATGGTAACATGTAAGACCCAGCAGTATCTGACATCATAAAATCCTTTTCTAGCATGTACCTGGAATCATTAATCAGAACAGCACAATACCATGTTTAATAATGTCACTTTAGCCAAAGGTAAATAGCAAGCAGAAAGAGTGGGCAGAACACTAGATATTTGTTATCCCTTCTCTTAATTCATTCTTTACAAGTCTCGGGTAAGTTCCAGGGCCAGTGAAGAGAGACAAGCTCCTGAAGAATTATACTGGTGTTTCTTTGTTAAAAACTCATCTTCAGCTGCTACTGTTGTTGCCCATTCAACCCTGCTTCCTTCTCAGGCTGAAGACTTTATGACTTACTCTTCCCTTTTCTCTTGCTGTAATGTCTATAGGAGAATAAACTACTTCTGTGTTAGAGCCAGGGAGGCAGGTACATCCTAGTAATATTTTACTGTTACTTCTTGAAAGGTCCTTAGCACTTTCTATGACAGTACCTGATAATACAACTGTCTCACTTCCTGTTTGCTCCTGCTATATTGATTTTATTTCTTGCAGTAAAGGAGGACAATAAGTAATAATATGGTTGACAGGGATGCATATGGTATGCCAAAAAAAATTACAAATAGCTCACCATCAGCAGGATGAATGGGAACCTGTTTCGCTTTCCTCTTAAAGCCAACTGATAGTTTAGGAGAGAAAACAGGAAAAACAATCCATAAAATGAACAAGATAACACTCAGACTAATACCACTAAGCCAATGAACTATAAAACATATGCAGCTGTTATCAATGCAAGAGAAAATCCCGGTCCGGATTTCTTTGTCAAGCTGACATTGATTCCTTGTAATCCCCATCTGTAATTCAATTTTCCTTTTGCAATAGCCTCTGTGCTTACTGGATACTCTATGCAGTGGAGGAGGTAGTTTCTGCCCTAAGATGCTTATGGATTAAGCAATTGTAGGAAATATTAGCAACTTGTTTTAGAGATAGAGAACTGAGAGTGCAATGATTATCTGCCCAAATGCAGATAGGGGCTTTCTACACTTACAGACAGAGAGGGGAAATGGGCACTTCCAACAGTCCACCTCCTGCACAAGTAGATTCCCACTATAGGTCAGCTATACCACACCAACAAAGTGCCTATTTCTCTCCACTGACTGGAAAGAAAATCAGGGGTCTAGGTCAGGTGCAGCATATGCATCTAAAGTGAAGTGAGATGGATCTCTCCCAAAAGACTTGTCCAACTTCATAAAGAAACAATGGAGCCAATTCAACACTCAATCCAGACATTCTGAGCGTGTTTCAGCAAACTGAGCATAATACCCACCTTCTTCTCCCTTGCCTTATAGTTCATCACCATCATGGAGCTACCAAAGCTGAGGCAGTCACAGAAGACCTCCAGTACTCAGTGAGTGGAAAACAGCCCTTCATACCAAGGATACCTGGACAATGCTCTGGGCACCCCCCCAACCCCTCCCAGCAGAGTGAAATCAACTACTTGGGACCACAGGACCTTCGGACTACAAAACCTGCCAATCCTACCTTGTATGATCCTGAGGCCAGCAGTGCACACAGCTTCCCCATATTCATTCACAGCAGAGCAGCGAAACAAATCAGTATCATCTGCAGTGAGTTTATTTATCTTAAAAAGAAGAACACAGTAATAACTGGTAGCCATGTGGTGTGGTTCAGTTATTCACCTTCTAATAAAACAGCTACTCAGTGACATTTCAGATCTTTCTTCTGTTCCCAGAATGACTCTAAATGCTCTAGCTTTCTTTTCTATTTTCTGAGTCTTATTTCAGATCTGGGGACATCTGTACCTACTGTCATTTGTGATCTATTTAAACCATTTTGCTCTTTTGGAAAACTGTGTTTTAAGAAAAGAAAAACCCACAGTGTAATCAACTGTAGTTTTTGCAACATACATCAATCTTCAACTTCAGCTCCTCTTCCTGCTTCATCTTGAAGCTCCATATATGGATGGAGTGATGCAATTCAATCCTGATTTGTTTTATGCTTTTCAAATACTGGGTTCTCTAAACTGTTCTACTAGATGCTGATGTTTCCACCCATATTTCCCTGGTAGCCCATTGCTCTTTGCTGTATGGGCCCTGTCTCCAATATTTGACCCTTACCTGCAGAATGAATTCATTTGTAACTGCACTGAAGAATGTTTCATATTTGGCAGGATCACCCATTCCTCCTTTTGTACGCTTCCATTCCACATTAGGGGTCGGGACACCTTTGACCACAGCTCTGAAAATGGCATTTTTACCTTTCAAAAGAGGCAAAAAATAACTCATTTAAGAAAGGCTTGAAGAAATGTGATGAAAAAGGAAAGACAAAAGAAACAAAAAAAGCAAAGAAAAGGTGGGATTCTCCTCTCCTAATTTTAGTCATTTAGTGTTTCACTGCCTAATTGAAGTTAGGGAATTGAAGTTAGGTCCCCCATTTAGGGGACTTGCTGTTCCAGACTCAGGTAAAAGCACATTTATCCCCATTAACTTCAAAAGCCATCTAAATCATTCACTTAGATGTAGACAACCACACAATAGCTATCTAAAGATGGGGATGACGCTGGTGCCAGGACCTGGAGTGATCCTCAGAGTGAGCCATCTCTCCTGTCTTAGGCAGAATCATCATTTGGAAATACTTACCTCTTTTCATTTTCTCAATAAAGGAAACCTAAACTACCAGCTTACATCAAACGTCTAAGTTCATACAACTGAGACATCTGCAATAATCCTCACTCTATCTCACTGGCTTTCCAAAAGATTACTTGGAAACTAACTATAAAATTAATCACTGACAAGTATGGTCTCTACCTGTGTTTTTACTGCACACCCATGTGGATAGAGAAACTGTGTACCCAAGAGACAGATTTTAACCTTAAATTTGCTATCACGGTCTGATTTCTAACTCCCTTAATATTTGGAAAGGGTCAGATAACAGGTATTAATCAGTTCAAGTTCAAGTCCAAGCTGGGCTGCTTTTCCCCATGTCAATAATGGCATTTAAAAAATGGTGCCAGCTATGACTGCTAACATCCTCTGCACATCTCTGAAATCAACATTATAGCAAGTTCAGACTAGATTCACTTCTGGTGCAGTTTTGATTTGCATCAGCTCATATGCACTACCTGTGCCACAGTCTAGCCATGAAATGCCAAAATCCACTCTTCTTATACATTTCTCCCTTCAAGCTCTCATTACTTCCCCATTCTTTCACAGTCTTCCCTTTGTTGCTACAGCACTGGGCAGGATATTCTATAACATGGGACTCACCATGCTGGAGAGCCCTGACATCAGTATAATCCATCTGCGAACAACAATCACTGTTCCTGGTCACTTTTTCATTCGGATAAAATGGAGGAGAAAACAACAAGATACCCACTCTGCCTCTACCCACTCAAGAAAACATGTTCTTAACAGACAAGACTGTACCACATCTTGGAGAACCAATGGAGGGTGCAGGGCTTCTCCACGCATTCTCTCACGCATGTCATCTTTCTGCAATATCTTTCTTGTTTTCTAGCCTGGTACCACCTTGCACTTTAAACACATCTGGCTCTCCTCCTTGAAGAGGCAAGGAAGAGAGAAGAGATGGGGTTGCCTGTGAGCTTTCTCCTTCACATCTGCTCCCCTAAGAACATGAGTGTACTGCAGCTGACCACTCAAACTTTCAACAGCTTTACCATCGCCTAATGCAATTTTTTTGTTGTTGTTTTTTCCTCCTAGTAGGCTTTTAGGACATGAGAAATAATATAAAAAAGCAAGTCAGAGAAATGACTCACATATGCAGACATGACAGAGATACAGGTAAGTGGGAGTGCCTTAGTGGAACAGCAACAGAGATGAGTTGTCATGGATGTGGTTCACAGAGGAAATTATTAGTATCTCTCCTTGTAATAGCTCTGGTATCCAGGTGACCAACACCGTGGAAATGTCTCTTCAGAAGGTCTTGCAATATTTCCCACAACCTTTTGCAGAGTCACCATCAAAAGATAGACTATATGCCTCATGCTCCTGCAAAGTACGCCTTTTCCTGCCATGTAATCAACAAATTCTTATTGAGAGGTATCTTTCTTCCTACTCTTTATGGGCTTGCAGTACCAAAACTATCTACTATTAAAGTCTATTTCCAAATACTTATAACTTTGTCAAATTTTAGCCGTTTTGCCTGCAATTTCCCATACCTGTCATCTACCACAGGACACAACTACCCTGCCTGAGTATCATCTAATCCATGCAAGCAAATGAAACAGGCTAATCATCATACTGCACTCATAGTGCATCTGCATAGAGAATGAATTCAGGTTATACAGTGATTGCCCTGAAAGTTCTAACATTTTGCATATGAACAACAAAGATCCTACTTTAAATCAAACAACACGGAAAATTCAGACAGCATGGCCTGACACTGCCTTGGTCCATGCCTGCAACTTGCAGGCAGAAAGGTGGAGAGGAAGGAGGAGGATGGATGCACCACTAGAGGCCACTGTGCTCCTTCATACAAGCTCAGTAGTCCATGAAAATCGACACATGGGTGTGAGAACAAAACTGAAATCCATGGTGTTGGAAACTGTTCAGTCTTGTGAAAGAGGAGGGGCTGCACAATCAGCTACTCCACTCCGAAGCATGTGAAAGTCTCCTCAAGGGCCTCACTGGAGATTACTGGAAGGCTTCCCATTGATTTTGGGTTCTGGTTCATTAGTTGCATCCTCTGTACTCCATGAAAGAAACATATTGCTTCTCAATAGAGAAGCACAGCCTAAGCAATGTCAGAAGTACACCTTAATTTAAAAAGCAGCCAGTCTTAGTACTGAACTCTCTTAATACAAGTTACTTCAACAGGGAAAAAACTTTTCCAAGGTATTTCATCTTTTGCTACAAAATATTTACCCTGAGAGCTTCCTGCAGATTTCACAAGATTAGCTGTATACATTAGGAGCCAGATTTTGACCTCACATACACTAGTAAAACCTCAGGATACCTTCATCAGTACTGATAGAATTTTCATCAGTACAACAAAGGCCTTAGCCACACAAAGTTTTTTTGTTTTGTTTTGTTTTGTCAAATCTCTTTAGAAACTAGCTTGATTTAATTAAGATAATTGTTTTGTGCAGGTGAGATGAGGAGCCAAGCCTCCAGATCTGACTTGGATAGTTTTTCAAGAGTCTCACCTTCCTGTAATGTTAGGGTGACAGGTTTCCGCTCAAAGTCAGGTGTACTGCATCCTTCTGGAATATCATCAACAAACTGAGTGATCGTAACTCCTGGGATGGAAGATTTCTTGAAGATTTTCACTAGAAAGGCAAGGAAAACACATTGAATTAAGATAACATGCTAATACTTTAGAAACAATATCTATCTCAATCTGCATTTCCTCCCTGCAGAACACTTAATTGTTCCTGCTTAGCTCCTCTTACATTAGTAGATCACCTATGCTTTCTAGCTCTACAGGTTGGGTGTGCATTCAAAATCTGGAGCATTAAGGGTCACGATTTTGTGTTAACTTATTGTAAAGCTAAGGTTCAAGTGGGAAAATCTACAATCAAGATTGCCATCCAGGGCCACATCAGCTCACATGTCTAGTAATGTTTTGGATAGAGAATCTTTTATATCAATTACTGTTCCAAATAAACCTTCAAGATCTAGCATGAGGAAAACACTATTGCAAAGGTCAGCAGAATATGATGGGCCAGGTACTGGTATGTCTCTTTGTCATGGTAAGACAGATGCCTTATTGTCAAACAAGAAAAGCAAGTTGGGCTTATTCTCAGGGGTTTCTCAGATAAGTTTCACAGCTGCGGCTGTTCTCTCACCTGCCTGATGGCTTGCCATGATGCTTTGCTCAGCTGCTTGTTTTCAACAACAAAAACTTCCTGGAAGACAACAAATCATTTCATTATTTGCAGTTCACAAGGAAAAAAAAAGCCCTTAATACTACTCAGGTTGTTGTTTCATATGACAGTTTGACCTTCCTCACTTGCTACATCCAAGCACTCCAGTCATGAAAGGCCTGCTAATTAACACTGCTCTGCCTCCTCTTTCCAAAGCACCCTCAGCACCACTTCCCTCCTCTCCCATTGTGGCAGAGTTTTGAACCACCAACACATCACAAACCAGGTAAAAAAAAAAACAGCTAGCAGGGCTAAATGGACAATTCACACATCTATCAGCATCCCATCCCTGTGTTGCACCTTTCATTTCCATGTTGTCTGGCTTCCTTCCAAAGACTTCCTCTCATGTTTCAGGCAAATATTACACCACGTGGCACTCACACAGTGAGTTCTGATGGATGGCAAGAGCAGTTGCTGAGAAGAAAGCCACAGAGATGGATGTCTAAACTGAGGCATGGAGCAACAGCACATCCTGATCTAAATTAGCCTGTCTAAATTAGCAACAGGCCAACAGGCCTGAGAACAGACTATAAGCTAGTACTTACTCTAGAAGGAAATGGTAGTGTGAGCTTGGGATTAAAGAGTCATTGTTATAGATCACTCATGTAACCTTCTGCCAAAGGTGTCTCTTTCCCTTTATTTATAAAGTAGACAACATGCAATATAACATATCGCTACCTTCCAAGCAAACTGTGAAGGCAGATTCCTTGCCACATGAGAGATGCTCAGAAACTATAGAGTTACTGAAGCTCTGAAAGAGCAATTAGATTAGATTCCCATGTGGGATTAACGCTGTGTCTCTATTTACCCTCTGCACTCATTCAGTCAACAGAGTCACATGAGAACATGCAACTTTTAACAGTTTTAAAAAGGAGATGGGCTTTGACAACACTCTTATGATCTTATTTCTGTTACCTGTATCAACAGACATATTCATGCAACCTCGTATTGCCAGGTTACACCAGATGAAAACTCTGGGCAGAACCCCACCATTTCCTGTTGTTATCCATTTAGCTGGGAGTTGCATTGTTATTTTACTCTGTGATCTTGTGCTTGGTTTCAGCTACGGGCAAGAATCAACTAAGCTAACAAAAATCACTTGTGCTGTATGTCCCACAGGAAGACTAAAGAAAGTGTAACTCACAATGTTTCTGGGTCAAATTCTGAATCAAAAGGATAAACTTTATTTTTCCATTAAACATTAGATGCAGATAAGAACAAAGATATTTCCCCAAAACAAATAAACAGGTTCCACTGTTGTCCTTAACATAAATCTTATTTTAGGGCTCTGCAAACTATATAAATCTCATGAGTAACTCCAGGATCACTACTGATTACCTGGAAAATCATTCCATGAACCTCACTAACTTCAGCAGACGCGCATGTGAAACAACAGAAATGGGAAATGATGCATGGGACTGTGTGAGTCACAGGCAAGTCCTCTCTTTACATCACCTCCCAAGTTTGGCATGGCTGAATTTTGTTACCATTCACCAAAACAAGAGCTTTATATATCAGTGTTTAAGATTTTGTGTTGGTACTTTTGCATATCACATAGTTACTTTTGTAAACCATTGGCAGATGTTTTAAATTTCAAATCAAGGAAGGGAACGAACAGCTTGTGTGAAGGAAAAACGCAACGCTAAAATGATCAAAAGACGGTTCCAGGTTGCACTGGTCAGGGCACTGAACAGCTGATGACAGAGTTCTTCAGAGACTCTTGACTCTCCTCTCCTGATGGGCTTCATTTGTCCACCACAGAAGTACTGCACTATACTAATAGCAAACACTAATTTACATAGCAAATAGCCCATCATGCGGCACCAATCCCATACTGCCTTTTACAGTCTTGTATCTTTCTAAACAGGTCACCACTTCTGGAGCTGAAATATCTAACGCTTACAGCTCTCAACAAACATGATTACGTGTCACTAGCTTGTATAGTACTATCTAAGCTCTTTTTAAAAACTGTTAGGCTCAGATCTATTCTTTGTTACCCCTGATTTCTTCCCTCTACTCTAGGCAATACTGATGAGCATCTCTATTGCAACATGAACACAGTCCACAGGTTCAAAGCCATATTTGATCAAGAAACTTGAGAATTTTCTTATGTGACTGAAGTGCATCTTGTTTAACACACACAGACAGAGGTTCACAGTCCGGGGTGACTCTGGATAGACATGAAAATAGTTATAAACTATTGAAAGTTGGCTACTGATCACATCTAGTAAAAAGCCCAAAATGCTGACAGATGTTTATATAGATAGCAATAGGCACCATTTGCACATCCTTTCAATGTACCAGATCCACCCTGTGCTATTAACTGCTGAGTTCACAGCGCCTTAAAGACCTTAGAAATTCATATGGATTAAAGATAAGCTTCTGTGAGTCCTTAAACTCCTGTGAATTCTTGCCTTCTGGAGAGTGATACAGAAGTATGTTAATGTCTCACATTGATTGCACAGTTAAAATAACAGTGTCAGGAAATGGAAGAGAGCATTTCCTCAACAGACTTAATCCAATTACATAGAGTTTTCTACTGTCTTCTGTGTTAAATGTGGACCAGGAAATACCTTATCTGCTGGCACAGGATCTTTCAGACCCTTTGCTGCTTATTTTTAAAGTTTCTACTCTCTTGTTATACAAATAATCATGTTTTTGTTTTGATTTCAGCTCAATATTAAAATATATATATAGAGAGAGAGAATTTTTAAAAGAATTGAAAAATAGCAAAAACCTACCAAACTCTGTCATGGTGGAATTGATACCATCACTCACAGCTGCCTAAAAAATAGCTGCCCGCACTAAGATGATCACTGAAGTCGCTATTCAGTCAATGGAGGCAGAAAAATACTTCCAAAGGGCAATTCACCCTTTCTATATGAAATGCTGCTCACCAACTCCCAGCACAACAGGGCTAACACTGGAAGTGGCTCAACACTCACTCTCCTCTGAAAAATACACGTGATCTTCATGCACTAGCCTTGTTAAGGTAACTCAGACTTGTCCATTTCTCTCCCCAGCCAGAAGTCTGCCCAGTTTTCAGCTGCAGAGACGTCCCCTTTGGAGGCAGTGTCAAAGCTTCCATGGCTCCGACAGCTGAGCAAGCCCTTGACTACTAGCAATATTTTTAATCTTGCAAAATAAACTAGATAGCCTGATGGGATAGGAGGTCTGCCCTTCATCTTGGCTATCCATCAAACTGGATGAGACAGCGCAAAAGCCCATACCCTTTTGCACTATGACTGAACGCTTGCGATAGGGCCATAAATCAGTTAACTGAATAGGTGAAACATTTGGAAGTCATAGGATTTGGAGGTACTAGTGGTGTCACAAGTAGTTATTTATGAGTTTCAGACAGTGTAACACACAGACATGATCTGACATAATTGTTGGCAGGGACTGGTGCACAATATTAGTCAAACTTGCAGAGAAGTGACAGACAGCAAGTGATAAAAACATTCAAACATAAGTAATGAGTCCAGAGGCATGGGATGTACTACAGACATTGGCACAAGTGCAGTATGATGCGTAGTACAAAGCCATTAGCATAGCCCACATTAGATTAATTGAATTAGCATTAAAATAAATTAACCAGCAACAGATGTAGCAGTTTATTTGTCTTTGGCAAGTCAAAAAAAACAGTCCCAACCTAGTGAATGTGGTAAACAAAATACCAAATCATTTTGTGTTCACTCTCAAATTCTAGCTGTGCATTACACTAGAGAATCCAAACGCTCACTGAGAAGAACTTTTAATCTTTTTAACATTAAGTAATATTCTCAGTCTGTGTCTTCTCATTTCAGAATATTTTTTTAAAGGAAAATCTCAGAAACTTTGCTTAGAATTTCAGAACTGAAGGCCAGCAACCGCAGAAGTGCAACTTCATGAAAGCTTTTGAGCCGGTCACAGAGGTGAACCTCAGAAGCACTTCAGTGATGAAGAGAGCCTTGCGTAGAGTGAGGAGGAATGCCTAAGGATCAGATTCTGTGTGACTTATCCCTTCAGTAAATCTATACTTGATCTTCTCTTCTACCTCATGCCATCCACAATTGACGTATGCATGCACCAGATACTCTACAGTTATTTTCTTATGAATGTGGCCTTGATACAAAATGCCAAAAGACAGACACCATCTATATTGCCCGAGTGGATCAAAATGCTTAAGCCCTAAGAGTGGTGAACAGAACAATGAATTCATGTCAGTTTGGTGAAGTAGATAAGGATGGCAACATGAGAACAGACAGTTTGTTGATTCCAGTGTCCGCCACATACCCATAAATACTTTCCTAAAGTAGACATGCATTTTCATGCACTCATTAAATTTACAGCAAGTACCGCAGAGCAAATACAACAGAGCTTTAAAAAAATGTCCAGAAGGAAAAACAACACATGTTAGAAATCCCAGCATACTTGCTACTTGCCACATGTTAGCTCATCAACAGATGAGGCAGATCTTCAAACAGCCAGCCATTTTAGCAGGGAGATCAGTGTCCGCTATAGGAAGCCATTCCGCACAGAACATTTACAGGCAATTTGAAGACCTACAGCAACACAGAGGACTGCCTACTGTGACAGTGAAGGTGGCACCTCATACTCCCAGCTCTGCATCACCCACACACAAATCTCAGCAGAGGCAAGATCAAACTCACTACTTTACAGGTTGAGCTTCTGAGCTGATCCTACTTGAAGTCAATACCGCGTCTCCCAGGACCAGAGCTGCTTTATCTGTTTGCTCAGACCACAGAGCTCTTCATAGCTGTTCAACAAGTCTGTTTGTCACAAGTATTAATGATCTGTACGGAAGAAACTGCGTCCCTTATCAATCTGTTGTAAATACCACTAAGTGGCAGAAGAAATGGCTAATTCTTGTCCCCCTCCCACTTCTCTAATCTCCCAGAAGCTGAGCCTGTGCTCAGTAGCTGCTCAGCCAGGATCTCTCTAACTTTGCTGTGTGCGGTTGTAGGGTGCTCGTTATACACCCATGCATACATCCATATGCAGCACCAGGGGAGGTGCGCTTGAACCCAGTGCCTTTGGCAAGCCTCAATCAAGGCAGCAGGCCAGCTTGGTCAGATGTGACAATCAGTCAAGGCAATGCTTGATTTCCAAGTGCAAATTGGGTCAAGTGCCTCAAAGAGGGACAAATATTTGTGCAGATCAATAGCTTGTCAAGGGAAGGGATGAGCTGTTCATCCAAGTTTTGCAGGACACATCAGCAGACTGGTTCTCAGAGGAGGCCATGAGTCCATAGAAGAGCTCATAATTCCTTAGAAGTGAAGTAAAACAATGGATTAATACATTTGTATGTGGGACAGCCAAGTCTAGGCTTGGCCTTCATAGCAGTCTTTCAGTCTGCATAATTCTGAAAGGTCTTAAGAAGAGCTGAAGGAAATTTAGTTCCTCCTACAACAGCTTCACTGCTATAGCCCAAACAGACACTTCACTTTGCAGTCTTTTCTTCCAGCCCAGCTATGAGGCTGATCAACAAGGCCATTGATTTCCATGGACAAGTTTATCCTAGAAGTGCAAGTGCAGCATATTGTCCTCCAAAATATTTTGCTTCAATCTGTGTTTGCAACTTGTTAACCTTCCTTCCTCTACCCAGAAAGCTTGGGCTGAGCTGACTCTGCTCGGGTTTTCATTAGGGAAGTGCCACTTGAGAGCAAAGATACCTCTGTCTAGTTCCCGTGTTCACAGAGAAGGCACAACACACAGGCAGGACCCACATTTCATTCACTTCTGACTGAAAGCATGCTATCTTTTTTTCTTTGCATTGTGTGTAGTATATTCTTATTAAATCCTTGTGTTCAACCCTGAGATAAAGGGCTGGCTCAAGTAATTGGCAATGGAAATATTTTTATCATTGTGTCCATAGTTCATGTGCTGTCTCAGATGACAGAACCAGAACAAGATTTTGCTTTGGTGTCCTGCTAGGAGATTAGAGTTTCTAAAATGCTGGGTTAATGGGGAAGAGAACATACAACAAAAACTTTGTCCTGTTACTAAGATTCATGTTAGACAGGATGAAGACAAAATGACCACCAAGGGCACCCTTTCCATCAGTCTTGCAGAGACGATCTTTCAGTAGAAAATACATTGGCAGTAGCAGTGTGATCTGTCAGCTGTTCTGATCCAGAGATCAAAAACTTCTCCTTTGCAGTGCTGGGGATCACTATTTTAATAGACAATTAAAAAGGAAAATGTGAACATGAAACCATGGAGTAATTTTCTTCATTTCATCCTTCTGTTTGACCGTTGTGTCTGGTGACAGTATCTGTATCTTCCTAGTTTATAAGGAAGCAATGTTAGCAGAGGAAAATGTGATTGTTCAAACTAATGTTACGGCTAACATCATTCAGTTCTATATCCCCCATTACATTTTCAGTGGTATAAAAATGCAATTCCCAAGTCAAATGCAAATAATTGCAAAGTTAGCAGGCCAAGAAAATAAGACAACCAGGCCTTGCATTTGCTGCTGGAAAATCCTCTCTCACTCAGTAGAGGATACTGCTTTCTAACAGCCATTCCCTTCTTCCATCTGTTCAGACCAATGATCATCCCAATAATATTTCCTTGGATTTTAGTCTCACTGGAGTAGGGTAGCAGTTATGTCACTTTGTTGATTGGTTGCTGTAGCTTTAACATTATGCACCTTAAATAAACCCAGCTGCTACACAAGTCTAAGTCTCTAAAAATCGTAACGCTTCATGTAAGCCAGGAAGATGCTTCTAGAGGAAAGATTTCTTAGATTCCACCAAAATCAGAATTCAGTTCTCATCACCTGTGATAATAAGTCTTTGCAGAGCTGGCACAATCAAAAGACCTGAACTATTCAGAGCTCCAAGGCTTACTGGGGTTACCTTTCCCGTGTATGCTCCCTTTTCAATGACCTGTTCCCCAGTGAAAAGTGCACTGCCAATATTTAGTCTCAAATCCCTTTTAACTGCTGGGATCTGCTTTAATGACTTTGGAACTCTTTTTTAGATGGACAGCTAGTCCTAGGAAGCACCTGGAGCCACAAGTCTGCCTGCTCCACTGCATCTAGACCTGATAGGGCTTTGCCTTATTTCCAGCCCTGGTTTTACAAGAGTTCTTCCTGGGGGGAAGGAATTGAGACCTCTCCTACAGAAGGATTGATAACTTAAAACCATCTGTGACACAGCAAACTCCTCCAAGAGACTGACCTTCTTCCATTTCACAGCTTGCTTTCCACCCGCCCACCCAAAAGTCCTGTTAACCCCTGCGTGCCGGTCGATAAGCTACCGCATACTGCGGAAAACCTGCAAAATGTCAGAATGAAGTGCGGCGCATTCAGCAGCGGTCACTGGTTTCAAAGCAAAGGGGATGCATTTTCCCCTGCAAGCAAGTTCCTTCCCCTAATGAAGGGCAGAGAAGGAGTGTGAGAAGGCAACAGCTGCAGGACAGTTATTTCGGGATTTAATTTAACAATGCGTTTTAACTGGAAAAAAAAATTCTTCCAATCTTCTGTTTTTCCTGTAATTCCATTCCTTTTCAGAATATCAGTACAAAGTCTACCAGTTCTGACTGGTGAGGGCTGGGCACACTCTTCCTAGAGTCTGTCAGTGTCAACTGCAGGGCCCGGACAGAGTGAGAAGCGAAGAAACCAAGATCTGGCAGGTCCAAAAAGCTAACTGGATTTGCCAGTGCATGAACAGAAGACCAAGGTCAAAAGCTAATCTCTTACTAGCATCACTTGGCCAAGCCAAGCCGTTCCTCTGTGGCATGGATCAGCCACCGAGCTGAAGGTCAGGGAAGCCTTGGCGCAGAAATATTCAGAGATGTGTAAATGGGTTGATGTGTGCAAAAGCTCATTAGTCAGGTTCACAACCTACATTGACATAACAGCAGTGAGAACCCCATAAACACAACAGAAGAAAGAAGAAAATAGCTGTGTTCGCTTCATTGGAAAAGGATGGGCAGGGTAATGGAAAATGGAATAAAGGTCCAAATTCAGTGGAGGCTAGAAGTGACCTGCAGCCCTATGAACACCCAATATACTATATCAAATCAGGTGGTTCTGACAGCACTGTTCTTGCTGGTCGTGTATTTGTAAAGGGAGATTCTTTTTGTCAGATCAGGCCAGGGATCAGATGGATCATAGGAACAGAATTTTGTTTGTATCAGGAGAATGCCTTGCATCAAGTTGAGGAATAGGCACACACACAGATGTCCCACATGAGTCTTCTGGATTCATAATACTTGATTTTTAAATAAATGTGATGCACTGAGTATTGAGTACTCACAGCTCCCTCTGATTTCAATGTAAGATGCCCACGCTCAGCCCAGCCTTTCAACACCAGATAACCCATATCGTATGCTTAAGAAGAAATTCAAGGAACTATTTTAAGTCCTAAAGCCTTGGCTATTCTACCTCCAACACCCAAGATGCCAGTTTGCCCCTTTGTCACCAGCAAGCTGAGGTCTGTCATCACTGTTCACACAGAGCCATGATTAGACCCACTGCTGTCAGCTGGACTTTCACACGCTGAAATGCAGTTCAACATAAGGAAAAGATTACAGTCAGGGTAACTAATTCAACAAGCAGCAGTACTCTACTTTCACACTGTGGATTAGCTCCCTCCTTCCCACGGTCTACAGATTCCCTTCTATTCCCTTGTTTAGAACTGATTTAATCTGTTTGCATCCATGACCAACTGTGGGTTTTACCAGCACAGTCCATGACTTCAATGGAGCCTGGCTGCATATAAATCTGACATTCCTCCTTTCCCCTTGTGATAACCGCCCTCATGACTTACTTTCCTGCACTCTCCAATGCCTGAGCTGGTCAGTTGTGAACTTATGTACCCTTTTCCAAAATGGAAAAATGGAATAGACGGCAACTGAGATTTAACACACACTCACCAATGATGTGATTTAACCTTATTACCAGAGAAATTATCCCTGCAGAACTTTTCATTCCCCTGCCCAAGACACTAAAGAAAACAACGTTTTAACCCACTGTGAGCTTTAACGAGCGTAAGGAATAAGGCGTGCCTGCGCCGCTGTCATACGGCCCTATATGGTTATCGGGCTTGCTGGACGCCCTCTACGCCAGCTAAAATTGACTACGCATGTTCAAACCCCTTTGCATGTGCCACCCGTTGGGCACAGAGAAGGTAAATAAAACCCACTGCAAACAGTAAAAAAGTATGTTGTTCAAATGCCACAAGGGATTCAAGTTGAGGCTTTTTCTCATTTTTTTCCCCCTTCAAATCAGAACATATTAAAAATACCCCCAACTTCTGGTTTGTTTCTTTCGTTTTTCCCACCCTGTCAGTGGCAACAGATGAAAACAGTCCAGTCCTCACATGAAGAACTATTTTAACATTTCATATCGTAATGTGCAAGGAAGTTTGACACCAACAAATGCCGCAAAAAATCCCTCAGAAACCCTGAGATGCCACAGCACACGCTGGCTTCCTGCTTTCATTGCAGGACACCTGAACATTATTTTCTACCTGCTTGACTTCTGCTTGCACAAGTTAGTGTCTGGCACCCGCAAAGGTGCAGAGGCTCCTGTCACTGGGAACGCAACCCCATTCCTTCTGAAGATTGTTCTGTCAAACTCTTTCTCTCCTAATCCAGCGCTATAACACGGGAATAAAATAAGTCTCATGCAGAGCCAGGAAAAGATACCAGTATCCAGCAGAGAAATAACCAAAGAGAAAGGAACAACCAGGGTGACAGGACAAGACATCTCTCCCCCTTCACCTCTACTCGCTCTAGAAATCCTGCAACTTCACAAAGGGTCGCGGTATCCCCCTTCATGCGGGCAGGACACTAGCAGGGTCTCTCACTCCTCACCAGTCACCCTTTCTGCCTTGCGGAGGTGATCACAAGGAGCTCAGATATGCCTTCACCTCACAGCAACTACAGCTACTCATTTGAAACCAGTATACCGCACTCACCTGTGTGTGTTTCCCCAGAGGTCCTCTTCTACCCAGAGTGCTGTCAAACCTGCAGCTCGCAAGTGTCCTTTCTGCAGTCAGTGTTCAGTTGTGAGATCAGAACTGGGTCCTGGGGATCCTTCTCTGCTGCTTGCTCTCTCTCTGTCTCGCCTTCTCCCTCCCGTTCTTTCACATTTAATCTCTCTCACCCTCTCCCTCTGGTAGGTGAAGCCTGTCACAGAGCTGTTAGCCTGTGAGACATCCAGATGATTTTTTTTATCGGAATCCGATGCACCTGCCTCCTATTTGTTATTATTTCAGTCCATACCAGTAATGGTGCTGGAGAAATATGAGATTAACGTAATTCTTCAGCGTTTCACAAGTCAGCTGGAGTCATGCTATTTCTGCAGATTGTGTTTCCTCTTCAAAGCAACTCCTTATAAACTTCCCTACAACTGAATGGCTCAGGATGTTCTAAAGCAAAGTGCAGCATAATTGTCTCCTTTGAAACCAATTTCAAGAATAATTAGGGCTACTAACTGATAAGATAAACTGATCTTCAGTTAAAGTGAGTGGCCAAGCACATTTAAAGATTACGCTTCTAGAAAGACACTCGCTTTTTAAAGAACTGTTTGAAAAGAAAAAGGCCTATGTGCTGTAAATACAAAAAATCACTGTTATGAATATCAGAGGAGGACGGAGAGCACATTACAGTACCAATCTACAGTTCTAATGTGAATTTAGTAGTATGCAGTTGGAAGCATGAGCCTGCCCCCCAACTGGGTGGCTGAAAGCAGCCCCTGTTACCAGCATAGCTCTGTGCATCTCTTTAAAGTAAAATATACTTAGAAAACATTAACAGGGGATTAGGAACCATTAGATCAGGCTGGAAATGGAGATCAGATGCACCTGAATGCAGGTGAGGATCCGCTTATCAGTGGAGGCTTACTTTGCCAGGAGACGTTGATATCTAGAGTTACCTGGAGCTGATCTAGACAAATCTTGAAAGAAACAAGACAGAGTCCCAAAATGAAAGAGTCTGAGGCAGGGGATAACTCTGACCCTTGAGAAGCTTACAGAAACGGTTCTCTCAGTTTGCTGACAGGTGGTGGGTACCCATGGTCCACCCAAAGCTGTCCATACTCCCAACCCTTCCCAGGTCTGCAAGTTGAAGACATTTCTGGTTATTTCGCTGCCCACATTTCTCACCGCAGGGACAGAGTCACAGCTTGGGGGATATGTCAGTTACATTCAATAACTTCGAACCCAACCACACGCAATACTGTGAGGAAGGGCAGATGTAAGCACATCAATGCTTCTAAAAAGAAAAGCAGATGGATAAATTTCAGCAGCTTGTTATCTTCAGGAAAGAAAATACGCTTGGGGGAGAGGCTGGACATAAAAAAGCACTACAGGTGCTGAAAGGTAGGCAAACTCTGTAGTACTTGCAGTGTGGGAACCTGGCCTGCAATCACATTGCCTAGTCCAGCCCCATCCAACATGAGAAGCAAGAATCTAAAGCAAACATCATTCTCAAAGTTTTGTTTCTAACCTTTTGAACATAACCCCACGCACACCAGGCAACGGGCCTATTGCACCCCTACACATGTACCAAGCTTGGGTAAACAATCAATTGTAAAGTAGGCACAGCAAGGGGTATCCAAATTAACTAACAGGAGAACAACAGGTTCACATTTTATGTACCTTCCAAGAAATGAAATAACCCCGAGTTATTGTTCCCTAACCCTCTTTCTTCAGATTAACTAGTTTTGCAATGTCAGATTCTTAGTTCCTCACCATCACAGTGGCCAGCTAAAACCCACTGATCATTTCCTACCTTGACCCTCACTTAATAACTAAGCATCCTTCCTGTTGAGGAGGGACTTTGACCTGTGCTGTGCCACTGAGGTTATGCAATAAGATTTAAGCCATAAAGTGCAAGTGACACATCCCAAAGAAACAGAATCAGCACATTTTCAGCCAACAAAATACAACTGGTCCCATATAATGTTGCACTCCTGCCTAGAACAGCAGAGAGGTACTAACAACCCAGGAGATGCTAAAATCAGTCTCATAGACTTGAAAGCATGACCCAGTTATCAGACCTCAGAAACCCAAAGGGCAACCTTATGCAATGTGCTTTGCTTAACAATCCTCTGACACTACCATTTCCAATAACCCACTTGACTACTTGTAAGACTGGGTATTCCCCTCCCTTCAACAGCCCTCATAAAGATTCTTTTACTATCAGATATAGGAGTGAGGAGTCTACTGGAAACCCACCAAACGGTAGTTCTGAGCTGACCTGAGGATGTCAGATTCCAACTGGGTTTCATCCCAGATTAGCAAGTGGTTATTGGTTATCTCAAAATTGCATTTGTTATGAATGAAAATTATTTGCCAAAATAAGCCATTCTGATTCATTTGCAGTGTAAACAGATTTTGTGACTCTTCCCCAGAAAGCATAATCATCAGCATTATCCTAAACTGTTAGCTCAACCAGCCCTGGCCCTCTCCAAAAAGCTGTATTAGTTTCCCTCAAGTTTGACCTTTGGCCTTCCTCCTACTCCAGATCTTCCAGCCTTTTGGGGCAGATAGTGCCAACCTTTCATGCTTGCAACCAAGCATTAAATTATCTATTAGGAGTTGTATAGAAACCACAAAAGTCATCTTATTTCCAAATCAAATGAGGATAAAACACAGGACACACTTCTCTTGTTTTGTTTTGTGGATGGTCTGCAATTCACAGGCTATGTAGTCTACCCTTATTTTACAGGTATAGTACTCTGACTAGTTTGGCGCTGTACCTCATTTCTAGGTACCCATAAAATTCTAGTTTATTTATTTATCTGGGGTGAGATTTCCAGATGGCGAGTACCTAAGGCACAGATTTTCTAGACTTTACAACACAATAGCCAGCAGAGACCTCACAACTCAAAGGTGTCAGTGGGAAGGGACTTCTGGAGGTCTCTAGCGCAACCTCACTCTCAAAATGGGGCTACCATCAACACTAGACCAGGTCAGCCGTGGCTTCATTGCCTTATTGTACCAAGTCTTGTGCAAGTATAGTGAAGTAGAGCAATACGGGAAGTGAGAGTCAGAACTTCAAGTCTGACACTGTCTTACTTTATGACTTCAAATTTCTCCACATCTTTTATTGCCCTTTTCTCAAGGAAAGGAATACTTTCTACTACATTGATATCCTACAGATTAGGAGAAAAGCCGCAGCTGCATTAGTGACTGGTTGTGAACTGCTCAAAGTCTCTCAATGATGACATGCTCCAAGTATTCAGAGCAACATAAAAGAGAGAAGCCAAAATCTAAACAGCAGAGAGAACCAAATCTTGGGTTTCTAATTCACTGCTTATAGCCTCCTTCACATAGACTCTGCCTGTACATAAGGAGATTTAGTGGAGCCCATCTGACCCAGTACCACTGACAGAGAGGAATCTGCCCTTGTAAGCTCTGATTGCTATCTGGGTAACCTGACCTCCTGCCTGCGAGCACAAAACAGGCCAGATAACATTAATCAAGACGGTAAGCGCCCAGCCTATAAATGTTTTCTTGGGACTGGGCCCAAATCAGGTCTGATATCACTCTGTAACTCTGTGTCTTTATTGGGAGTTGTGGGGTTCTTGCTATCCTTGTGAGGGATTTTACTGCACCATGAACATCCCTGAGCTTTTTGACCCAAACACCCTGTGGCAGCCAGTTCTCTCACTCATTCTCCCATGCAACAGTGACCCAGTGTGTGATAGAACCTGCCACAGGCCTCTACTGCACACTGTCAGCCCCAAGGCCATGCCAGAAATCCTGTCAGGGAAGTATCTACAGGAGCGGGAGTTCAGGGAACAGGAAGAATGGGGCTGCTCCCTGAGGAAAGGGGAGCTGAGGGTGGCCCCAGAACAGGCAAGGAAGGAATCTCACTGACCAGGCACAGTCCCACAGCATCTGAGCTGGGCAAGCAGAGCAAGAGTGGCAATAGCAACAGGCTTCATCAACAGTCCAGTGATCATCAGACAAAGGCAAGGTAACAAGTCAGGTCCAAGGCCAATCTGGGAAAGTCAAACAACATTTCAGAAACAGACCCGGAAACAAATACACCTAGATGCCCAGGCCTGAGCTTAAATAGAGCTCAGGGGCCAGGGCCAGAGGGTGTAGGTGGAGGTCCCAGGTAAGGCTGGTCAGGGCAATTAAGGCTTATTTGTGCCCTCGCAGTTCTGACACTGTACTGCAGAACTTCATTTCTGTGACACACCAGCTCATCCAGGCTCTGCACCCATCAGGGGCTCATCACACTCCCAATTCAGTTCCCATCCTCCCTGTACTCCCTTCTGTCCCAGCTCTCTACCGCCTTCCCGTCTGCTCTCCTGCTGATCTCCAGGCCTGGAACTCTCCATCCCCTCTGCATAAGTCTATGCCCTCAGTAGCACTCATCTGCTTCATGTCTTATGCTTTATGACCCTGTTTATGGCTGAAGGGAATGGTGGGAGCAGAGTGATGGGAAGAGACAGGTGGCAAGCAGGAAAGACACTGAGCAAGGGAGAGGCAGACAGTTAAGTCCAGAGTGGTTTATCTCCCTCCCCTCTCACTCCACAGCATATGGCTTAGGAAAAATCATGCCATTTCATGGGCGAGTATTCATTCCTTTGGCAATAAAGAAGAAAGTCTATTTTTATTGGGATCTTCTGTGATTCTGAGATCCTCAGTCTGAGACATTGTTCCCTCACACACTCCTGCACTCTCTAGAGTGGGGCAATGGGAACCCATTGGTCTAACCTTCAACAAGTATTGCAAGACTTTTCATAAGGAATTTAATTTAATTCCTGTGCTGTTTTCTCCTTTGAGCATGTGCAAGTGATTGATCAATGCACTCTAGCACAACAGTCTTGTTCCATGCTCATCGCTGGAGAAAACTGCTGCCTTGCTGTCACACTAATATTGACTTTCAAAAAAGCAGCACAGTCAGTAGTCTTTCTGTTTAGGATCAAGACGGCAACAGCCTCTTGTTGGAGGATCTCACCAGTCTTTAGCAAAGCAGCTCCTTGCTAGGGCACACTAACTTCAGTTTTCAGAAGTCCTTAGCCTGACATGCCTAGATCTGACTAATGGGTACTGAGTACCTGGAGTCTTCCCTGACGTCACTGAGACCACCCAGATGTATGTGTCTTGGCGCCTGCATGCTGGGCAGACCATTCAGATATAAGTAGCTCAGTGTGTTTGAGAGAATAAAAATATTTTATTTTAAAATAAAATCACCTTGCTCTCCTTCAAGGTCTCATGTTGAGT